CCAGAAATTAAAAAAGTCATAAATACCAAGTCACTTCAAGCTCCCTGGATGTCTAAAGGCTTACTAAAATCTTCAAAAAAGAAAGAAAAATTATATATAAAATATCTTAAAAAAAAAACTTATAAAAATGAAATAACTTACAAAAATTATAAAAATATATTTGAAAAAACCAAAAAATACTCAAAAAAACTATTTTATGATCAATTATTAAAGAAAACCAACGGAAACACTAAAAAAATATGGAATTTAATTAAGGATTTAATTGGAAAAAATAATTATAACAAAAGCACTCTGCCAAAAAATCTTTTAATTAATGGAGAATTAGTTTATGAAAAATCAATTATAGCTGAAGAACTAAACAACTACTTTGTTAATATTGGCCCGAATTTGTCTGCTAAAATTTCCACTAATTCCATTCCATTTGATTCATACTTAAAAACTTATGATAAACTTATGGATGAAACTGATTTAAAACTGAGTGAGTTGAGAACTGCATTTAGCAGTCTCAAAAGTAAAAAAAGTGAAGGTTTTGATAAAATTAGTGTTGATGTTGTCAAATCAGTATTTGAAGTCATTGAACCTTCTTTATTTCACATTTTCAATCTCTCATTAAAGTCAGGTATTGTTCCTAATAAATTAAAAATTGCCCGTATAACACCAATTTTTAAATCTGGAGATAAGTCAAATATTTTAAATTACAGGCCTATATCAATCTTACCTTGTTTTTCAAAATTGCTAGAGAGAATAATGTATAACAGACTTTATAATCATCTAACTAAGAACGACATGTTGTATTGTAAACAATTTGGTTTTAAAAAAAAAAATTCCACTGAACACGCAGTAGTTGAACTTTCCAATCAAATATCTAATGCCTTAGATAATGACTGTTTTACATTAGGAGTTTTCATTGATCTGTCAAAAGCTTTTGATACCGTAAATCACTATATACTAATAAAAAAACTCGAAAACTACGGTGTAAAAAATAAAAACTTACTTTGGTTCAAAGATTATCTGACTAACAGAAAGCAATTTTTATACTATAATAAAAATAATACAATTCCACACTCCATAACTTGCGGGGTTCCTCAGGGTTCTATTTTAGGACCACTTTTATTTATATTGTACATAAACGACTTATACCTATCAACAAATCTTTTAGACCTAATTTTGTTTGCTGATGATTCAAATCTTTTTTGTTCTCACAGAGATATTAAATCACTTTTTAAAATAGTTAACGAACAGTTATGTAATGTTAGTGCATGGTTCGTAAGTAATAAACTTTCACTAAATGCGGAAAAAACAAAATATATGCTTTTCCATAAAGTAAATAAATCAGAAAATATTCCTCTTAAATTACCAGATCTTAATATTAATAAAACTTATATTAAAAGGGAATCTTACATAAACTTTTTAGGAGTAAAATTGGATGAAAATTTAAAATGGTGTTCACATATAAATAGCATTGAAAAAATAATCTCAAAAAATATTGCAATGATGTTTAGGGCTAAACCCTTTCTAAATATATCATCTCTGAAAAAATTATATTTCGCCTTTATTCACAGTTATTTGTCTTATTGTAATGTTGTGTGGGCTAGTACTAGTCATACAAAGCTAAAGAAACTCTACAATAAACAAAAACATGCATGTAGAATAGTATTTGGAGCCGACAGAAATGTTCCTTGCGAACCACTTCTAAGTGTGCTCGGTGCTTTAAATGTATATAAACTTAATTTACACCAAGTTTTATTGTTTATGTTTAAAACAAAAAAGGATTTGTCTCCTAAAATATTTCAATCTTATTTTAATAAAATTAACCATAGGTACTCAACAAAGTTTTCAGAAAACAATTTTGTTGTTCCAAAACATAAATTAAAATTAACTTCCTATTCAATTAAATACCGCGGACCTTATCTGTGGAAGAAATTTCCAGATATTGTTAACAAAAAGCAGACTACATTAGAGCAATTTAAGGATGAATCAAAACGATTATTATTGTTCATGGATCTCAAAAAATCCGACTTTAAATGTTTATTTTAAAGTAAACACAATAAAAAAAAAATAAAAAAAAAACAGATTCAATTATATCAATGATATATGATAATATGAATAAGAAAAGAAAGAAAAAGGAAAAATAGAAAAAAAAAAAAAAAAAAAAAAAAAAAAAGAATAAGAAATCCAAGTGATGATGTCACAAGTGATGATGTCATAAGTGATGATGTTACATATTCATTTAGTGTTAATTATGAGATTTTAATTTTTCAATTTCTTTTATATTCAGGAATTTTTTTTTTTTTTTTTTTTTTTTTTTTTATATTAACTTATTTCTTAAACATTTTAGCAACTGTTAAGCATCTTAACGCTTCTTAATTAATTCTTATTTTTTATTTTTTTTATTATATTAGTTATTTTCTATTTCATTTCTAATTGTTTCTTTTATATATATATTTGTATGTTACGGTTATGTAGAATTTTTAATGGGGCTCGGCGATAAGACGAAATGTGCCTTCTTCTTGCTCCAGCCATCAATTTATAAAAATGTATATGCAATGTAAAAATTTTTTAACGGCGAAATAAATTACACTAAAAAAAAAAAAAAAAAAATATATATATATATATTCTGTATTTAAATCAATGAGATCACTTTTTAGCAATAAAGAACATAATTCACATTTAACTTTTTTGAGTAATTTTCTGCATATATATCCAGCAATAAAAATAGCAACTTCTTTACTGTTATCATCTTCCTTGAAATCACATTCTTGAATATCATTTATAAAAAGTTCAGAAATCGAATTTATATTTACAACCGACTTGGAAGTTTTTAAATCCATTTTCCAAAAGTTAAAGTTTTCTTTTAATAATGATCTCATTTGCAAAATTTTTTCAGAAGTTATTACTTAAACAAGAAATCTGCCATTTGTACTTGTTTTGTCCGATACTATATATATATATATATATATATATATATATATATATATATATATATATATATATATATATATATATATATATATATATATATATATATATATATATATATATATATATATATATATATATATATATATATATATATATATATATATATATATATATATATATATATATATATATATATATATATATATATATATATATATACATATATATATATATATATATATATATATATATATATATATATATATATATATATATATATATATATATATATATATATATATATATATATATATATATATATATATATATATATATATATATATATATATATATATATATATATATATATATATATATATATATATATATATATATATATATATATATATATATATATATATATATATATATTAGGGTAGGCTAAACGCCCCTTATTTTTGAAAATCAAAAGGCACTGTTTTCCATATTCTGTGGGTGCACTCTGTGATCAATAAAAAACAAAACCTTACTCATTTGCAGAATTTTTTGACCCCTCTCAACAGGCTCAAAGATCGCATTTTTATTACAAATTTTCGTATTCTGACAGTTTAAACACCCTTAAGAAATTAAAATAAAAAATTTATGCTTTTCATCAAGATTTAGGCTGCCTACAAGCATTAGAAGGACTAAACTTTTGACCTGGTTTCTTAAAAAAAAACCCGGTTTCTATAACATTTTAAAACAGCCGGTTTTTTTATTTTATTGGGATTGCAAATCTTTAAGGGGGCTTTTATTTGTAATTACTTTTTCGCCATAACAAAATTATTAAGAAATAATAGCATTATATTAAATAAGATTGCAGTTGCTGGGAGGGTTAGGCGGGGGTGAAGAATACGCCGCCCCCTCCCCTACACACATTTTTTATACAATTTTTTTAACTTTTTGAACAAAAAAGAACTGAATTAAGTGTTTGTTTGTGTTATATTTAAATTAAAGTATGACATACCTATATAACAGTATATAAAAAATATTGTTATTATTAATAACTTATCACATTATATTATTTTAAAAAAAGCGGGAAAAGATATCAAATCATAATATTAGTTTTTTTGATAAATGACTTTATTAAATTCTTTAGAAATATAGAGAACATCCTCTCAACTGCCTTATAGATATCGAGTTCTGCAGTATTTAATTTGTATAAAATCAAAACTAAAAAATAAAATTTGCAATATAAACTCAGTGATATAGTTACAGTAGAATAGCGTAGGAACAAGCTGAAATTATTCGATGGGCCTTGTGTAATAACTCAACACATTACCCAACAAGCCTCGATACCACTACCTCCGCCAACGTTAGAGATACCAACCCATTCACTATTTACAAATACGGCTTAATTAAAGAGCGGTATACATCCTAAACAATTCAAAATAAAACCCAAACCCGCAAGATACGCACAACAACCATTACTCGATACTGCAACTACATCCAAACTCAACCACATCTAATTTTGGGCTAACGACCCTTGCTCCCTAAACAGCAACAAAATACTAGAGCTTAAAGCTAGAATCAACACTCCCCTAATAAACGAACTAAAACCAGATGTTATCTTCGTAGTTGAAACGTGGTTCAATGAAACATCAGACACCTCAATTGATGGATACCACTTGCACAGAAAAGACAGAGGCAGTCAAGGAGGGGGTGTGGCAATGTATATTAAATCTAATATCCCTGCTGTATTAACCAGTATAAAAAAACTAAACGACTCTAGCATTGAGCAACTTTGGCGAATTATCAAGTTTGGTAATGAAAAACCCCTCCTAGGATGTATATATCGACCTCAAGATAATAACGATGATACCCTCATGAAAATAATTTCTTCAATCAAAGCCGCGAAATGCAATCTCTCGAAATTAGGCTGTGCATCTATGCTCTTATACGGTGACTTTAACTTTAGCCACACAACATATGAAGAACTTGTAGTTGATGACAGTACACAAGTTTTAGCGCATATCAACAATGAATGGCCTAGTGACACTAAGTTTCCATAATGCTTAGGTGAGCATTATTTAACTCAAATGATAACATTCCCAACATATCGCAACTCAAGAAACAATCCAATGGGTAATACTCTTGATCTTGTCATTACCGATAAATCAAACACAGTTAAAGACCTCAAAAAGGATGATCCTATCGGAGACACACCTAAGGCTAAAGCTCACTTCCTAATCACTGGACATTTCGAAACTATGAATTTTGAAGTACCAGCTACATTTCATACACGTTATATTCGGAGCAAAGTGAACTATCAAAAAATATCAGAATATATCATGGATTACGATTGTGACAAAAGCTTTACTAATCATTCAGCAAACTTTAACTACCAACTACTTGTAAAAAAATACATTCCAGTGACTTCTGTTCCCTTCAAAACAAAAAAAGAACCTTGGACCACACCGGAAGTTAAAGAAGCGGTTTTTTATAAACGTAATCTCTGGAGGCAATATGTCGCTTCTGGAACTAAAACACATGAAGCACTCAGGAGTAAGTATAAAATAGCTTGTAAACATGTATCAGAGGTAATAAAAAAAGCTATTAAAAGATACGAACATCAGTTAGCTAGTATTTTAAAAAATGACCCAAAGAAACTTTATGATCACATCAAAAATAAAGAAAAAACTAATAACTCACTTCAAGCTCTCGAAGATGACAATAAAAACATTATAACCGACGGTGCAGTTATTTCAGATATTCTAAACAATTACTTTCATTCTGTATTCACTACTGAAAAACTAGATTCGCTGCCAGATTTCGGATCACGTACAAATGTATCTTGCACTATAGACTTAAATTTCAAATCGGCGACTTCAGTTCAAGAAAGACTAAAAAAGCTCATTGAAACTAAGTCAAAAGGATATGACGACATACACCCACGAGTATTACGCAACTGCGCGTCAGCATTTGCAATTCCATTAGCTATGATCTACCAAAAATCAATTTGTGATTCACAGGTTCCAGAGCTTTGGAAAAGATCAAATGTCATGCCAATTTTTAAACAAGGCAGCAAGCAGAACCGAGCCAATTATAGACCAGTCTCACTAACATCGGTACCCTGCAAAATTATAGAAGGTATTACACACGAAAAAATCATAAATCAGTGTCTTAGCAATAACCTAATATCCAAAGAACAGCACGAATTTCTTCAAAGTAAAGGATGCATATCGAACTACTGAACCACTGATATCATCTTCACTGACTTTGCGAAAGCTTTTGATAAAGTTCCACATGTCAGACTTTTACACAAACTTAAAGCCTATGGTATAAACGGCATAGTTTTAGACTGGATAGCAAACTGGTTAACGAATCGTTATCAACGAGTTGTAATTGGCAAGCATAAATCTAAATGGAAATATGTAACTAGCGGGGTACCCCAGGGCTCTGTGCTCGGTCCACTTCTTTTTATCTTATATATAAACGATCTGCCGGACTATATTACTCATCACATAAAGATTTATGCTGACGATTGCAAAATAATCGGAGTACTAAAATCTGAGGAGGACAAAAGAACATTGCAAACTGACATAATCTTGTAGATTGGTCGCATAAATAGAACATGCCCCTCAACTTCGATAAGTGTAAAGTTATGCACGTTGGGCGTGGTTACTCTAAATCTACTCAAACTTATTCGATGCTTGATTTGAGTGGAAACAGAATTTAACTGGACGTCACTAAACACAAACATGATCTGGGAGTACTTCTATCAGACGATCGTAAAGTAAGCTATCAAGTCGAATCAGCAGCAGCAAGAGCCAACAGTAAACTTGGTAGACTTAAGAAAATTTTTAGAAATCGTGGACTCTTTTTGTGGAAAGTACTCTACAAAACATATATAAGACCCCAGTTAGAATTTGCTATCCAGGCTTGGTCACCACACAATGAAAAAGACATTGCTATTCTAGAACAAGTACAGCATAAAGCAACTAAAACAATATCGGAAATAAAGCATTTGCCATATGAAGAAAGACTTTTTCATCTCGGCTTAACTACTCTTAAAGAAAGGAGAGTTCAAGGTGATCTGATCCAACAGTTTAAAATTTCAAAAGGTATTGATCAAATTATTTTTGATAACCCTCAAGTCTACGCACCATCGATTTACAAATATAATTTACGTTGACATTATCTTCGACTCGAACGCCAAAAGGTAAAAAACTGTCAAGAAAGATTTAATTTCTTCACTAACCGCATCGTGAATGTTTGAAATACGCTACCTTTAAACGCCATAAGAGCTGAATCAGTCAACTCGTTCAAGGTTAGTGTTCATAAATTGAAATTCGTATTAGAAGAATGATCGGACACACGAGCGTCTTTTTTCAGCATGGAAGTGCCTGGTGTAGCACTTCATCATCAAAATATATAAATGTATTATATAATTGATTTCTGAAATAAATAAACTCAAAACACTTATCTAATATTTTGATGATGAAGTGCTACACCAGGCTGTTGAAGACAACTAAAAATTAGATAAGTGTTTTTACTTATTTGTTATTGCTCTGTTTTTTAAGAATATTGAGCACTCTAGAAAACACTAACAATATATATATATATATATATATATATATATATATATATATATATATATATATATATATATATATATATATATATATATATATATATATATATATATATATATATAGTATGTATATATATATATATATATATATATATATATATATATATATATATATATATATATATATATATATATACATATATATATATATATATATATATATATATATATATATATATATATATATATATATATATATATATATATATATATATATATATATATATATATATATATATATATATATATATATATATATATATATATATATATATATATATATATATATATATATATATATATATATATATATATATATATATATATATATATATATATATATATATACAGTCGTGTGCAGTAAAATAGTAATGCGTATTTTATTTTCCTATCAACAAACTTTGAATATCAAAGTATATTTTTCTATTGTTTGTTTTTTATCATTATAGTTCATAAACTAAATGTTGTGATTATAATAGTATAAAAAAAATTTAAGAAAGATAATTGCAGCACTGTATGGTTTTAAAATTTCAATACTATCGATTTCAATACTATCGATACTATCGATACTATCGAGGTCATTCGTATTTTTTTTTAGACTGTGCAATAAAATAGTAGTGAAAAATTAATTTTTGTGTAATAATTGCTGTACTTATTAAATTCTAATTATTATTAGTTCTTAATAATAAGCAATAAGTAACTAATTAATTTTGATTTTAGATAAATTTATACACTTACTGAAATTTTGAAAATTTAGAGAAACATGGGGCGCTCTAAGCATTGTACTGAAGAAGTTTGCAATTTAATTATAAATCTTAAAAATCATGGTAAAGCCTACAGACAAATATAAGAACTGGTTGGATGCTTACCAACAATGATTTGTAATGCTTTAAAATGGATACCCAAACCAGAAAAACGTGGAAATAAAAGATCAACTACAAAATATATACTTACTAATCCTATGTTTTGTGATCGCACTATTAAATTTTATTGTTTTTTAAAAAAACCGCAATAATAATGACTAGAAAGTTTTTTTTAATTAGTGGTGTTTTTGTTTTTGTTTTATTAAAAAACATTTTTAAAACATGCGTAAGTGTTGATACATCGAATATCTTATAGCCTGCTGCTTCATAGGAGTGTTGCTACATCGACTATCTTATAGCCTGACTCGCAACGGAGTGCTGCTACATCGACTGACAAATAGCCTGACTCGCAAGGGAGTGCTGCTACATCGAATGACAAATAGCCTGACTCGCAAGGGAGTGCTGCTACATCGACTGAGGGTTTGGTTTGGGCAGGCAGTGTATCATTTGAAAAAAAAATTTTTTTTTTAAAGTTTTTTAACATTTTCTGTCCAGGCTTATTAACGCGCTCTTTAAAACAACAGTTTATAGGAAAAACTTTGTGACTACCATGCAAGACTATATATATATATATATATATATATATATATATATATATATATATATATATATATATATATATATATATATATATATATATATATATATATATATATATATATATATATATATATATATATATGCGACAGTTGCCGAAATTGGAACAGCGCCTTAATTGGAACACTTGCATTTATTTTTGAAAAAAAATAAATTATGGCTATATTTTGCAATTTTTTAGTAAAACGCATTATTTTCTACGTTTTTAAAGTTATTCCTCAAAAAATGCGTTTGCACCATTGATTTAAAGTACTTTTGCGTCATTTTTTTTCAACGATCTAATTTTGTGATCACACTATACTGGTTGCGCTGAGTAAACCATGGTGCTACAGGTTATATTTTTTTTGTATTTATTTCGCAAAATGCAAAATAACAATATAAACTTATCTTATAAGTTGCTGCAAGCATGTTATTGTAGTGATATAACAAAATAGTCGAAAGTTTCCTTGATTGGGACATTGAAATTTTCCTTACCTAAGCAGTAATAAAATCAAAGGGTTGTAAAAGTAGTTCAAGTGCAATTAAAAAAATACTTAGTAACAACCATAAACCTTAAAAATAGTACTTTATTTAGTGATTTTTAATCAATAAATTTAGAGAACGTCATAACAGTTAAAGATTTATAAAAATTTTTGTTTGTAGACTTTAAATTTATCAGGGTAATACTAATCCAATAATAAGTTTTGAATTAACTGTTTAAACTTTTTACAAATTTTTGTTGATTTTACTGGATTTTTTCTTTTTAAAAAAAATAACCTGTTCTGATGAGGGAATCAAGGTGTTCCAATTTAGGGAACCAGTTGCCTTGATTGGAACAAAATGATAACTTTGCAAAAAAAATTTATTTCCAATAAGTGCAATCAATTAAGTCAAATTGTGGTTAAAAGTATAGTAGGCTTGTCTGTTTGTATTTATCAAATCATAAATGTTTTCATAGTTTAGCCATCTTTGGGTAATAAATATTTATTCCTTAAGTGTTCCAGTTAAGGCAACTTTCCCCTATATATATATATATATATATATATATATATATATATATATATATATATATATATATATATATATATATATATATATATATATATATATATATATATAAATAAAATTCCACCATTTCAGATTTTGGGATTGTGACCTTTAATGCTCATTTCTCAAGTTTAAATAATTTCACACAATAATTGTATGTTACCAAAGACAATGACAACTTTTTTTGCAATAAACCTATATAAAACTTATTTTTTTACATAGACCAAATGATATGTATATATGTATTGTTTAAGTAAACTTATATTATACAAGTTTAAGCATTTAAGGAAAAGTTATTTGTTTTTATTGTTGCCGTTGAGAACTAGGTAAATGTTTTGAGAAATAGGTAAATGTTGTATGTTTTATGTAAAAATGTTTTATGTAAAAATTCATCTATGTAACAATCATGTAACAAAAATATTTAAGATGGGTAATTTTTATGTTACATGATTGAATTGTTTTCTTATTCGTTCTGCGGAAAAATTCTTGTAATTGGAAATCCAACTTTAAGTGATTGTTATATTTCAAGTGTTGTGATTACGTTGTGCACGTATAATAAGAACTGGATTATTAAACCTAAATTAGGTTGTAATAAAAACTAATATTTAAATTGCGAATATGGTATGGGATATCATAATGAAGTATAATACATAAACTATTGCAAAATAAATAACTAGTCAATACAAAAAGCTAAGGACTTGCATCTTTACTTATCCTCGCAGAAACCCGATTTGATACGGTACAAAACGATAACTATAGTTTTGTATCATTTTTACAAATTAAAAAATATATATATACATCTTGCTTTGTATCGGATTTATTAAATACACCGTTTTGTCTTAGTTTGTAACACAACTGTCTGCCAAAAGCTAACAAAAGAAGCTAGGATAAGCGAGCAAACTAAATAAAATAGCGAGAAAAGAGATTAGGATTAAAAATGCTGATGGCAGTTTTAACTAAATTTAATGATTAAAATATAATAATTAAGAAACTTTTATATTATCTAATTTTATTAAGTAATAATTTAAATGGGCGCACAAAGATTGCGTTTTGTCATGGTAATTACTAGGTTATTAATACTCGATAATACAGTTACATTTTGTACTTTAGATTTAATTCAAATTTAATTTAATTCAGTTGTTAGAAAAAATATTTGCATATATAATGTAAAAATGGAAGATATAATTGTAGTTAAGATGCAAAATGCTTCTACTTTATCGACGTAATTTTTTAACACCTCCAGAAAAATTGGAAGCGTTTTTTATTCTAGCTCTTGCTCGAAAAGCTCTTTGTTTGCGCTCATGTTCACTAAGAGAAGGTGATGTTAAAAACATAATAGGTAATGATTTACTCAACGTTTCCAAAGAACTATTACTAAATTTTTGTTGGCGAGAACCTCGAGGTGAACCAGGCGCTGATATGCATTTGTACTTTCTCATTTCCACTTTAGTGTTAGATTTATAAAGTTTTAAAGAGTTTAAGGTAAGTGTTTTATTTTCGGTAGTTTGTATTTGATCGTTTTCAATACGTTTTGTTGAACTCAAATCTGAGCTAGGAAAAAATACGTTAGAGTTTGTTTCGGTAGCTGACATAGAATCTTCAGATATTTCTTCACCTATTTCGAGAGAACTAGTACGCCTTTGAATAGCCTGTCCAAATAATTCTGAAGTGGCAGATTTATGTTCTAATAAGTTAGCCAACGTCACAGCTTCATTACCTTTTAAAGAATGCTTTGGTTTTTCACTTGAAACGAGCGATTTAGTAATAGGGATTTTTGATTTACTTATATGTGAAGTTCTATTCCGCCACCCAGGAACATCTTCATCTTGCTTAAGCTGTCTTTGGAGTATTTCTTCGTGTTTCGGCGAAAGAACTTTTTGTTTCTGAATAGATGGTGTTAAAACCATCTGAAGATTGGTTTTGCGTTTATAGTCTCTAGACGAAGGTAGCCAAACACTACTTTGTCCTTCAATTGTTGTAAGACTGTAATAACTTGGTACAGGGGATGCCAAAGCAGGAAGTTCTAATAAACTTGCAATTGCCGACATTTTTCTGTGCTTTAGTGCTTCTTTGCGTTTTTGTAGTCGTTGTCTAGCTGACATACACCTTATATAGTCATCGAATACAAATTTACAAGTCATTACAGGTAAGGGATTGAAACCAGCCTTGCTTCTCCTTGTAAACGGCTGTTGTATCACAATATGTAATGATCGACTATCATCTTTATCAGGGTTAGCTTCAACATCCTTGTTAATAAAAGGTAGGCATAACACAAGTTTTTGTAAATTAAAATGGGTCACAATTTACAAAATTTAAACATAAGTGTGTTCATTAATGTTACCTGCAAATGGGAAACAAACTTCACAACTCCCCATCCAAGTTTACTTGTGTCTGGCTCTACTAAAATAAACTGACTTGTGTCGATTACCAAAAAACGACGTATGCTTTGTCTAAATTAAAAACAAAAAAACCATTTGTTACGAATTCTAATTCATTTTATTATATAAAAAAATTGATAAACTTGTATAAAAATTCAAAATTTATAAAGCGGAGAGGGTAGAGTAGAGTAGAACGGGGGTAACTGAGGAAATTTTACTAAATCTAACAGACCTCATAAACGACGATTTTTAAAAATTTTAAATCAGGGTTTGCGAGTGTAACTTACTTTACAACCGTATGTTACACTTGCAAATGTAATATGCTTTACACTCGCAAAAACATCAAACATACTCGTATTAAAACTTTTAAATTTTTACCAATTTGGTAGAGGATCTGTTAGTGTGAAGAACAACACAAACACAAAAATTTTGACAATTATGACCGACAGTTTTACTTTATAACAAGCTTATGACTAGAAAATTACGCTACAGGTCGGATTCTGCAAATCCTTTTGAAACTTTTAACATGTTGTGAATTCAATACTTATGACAAAAATAGAGAAAATTGCATTAGACGTGATCTACTAGGAAAATTAAACGTTTTACCTCGACACTATATATTTAAATTAAAGCTCTGTTCATTAAGAAGTACTCTTTACAAAATATAATTACATTATTACATTACCACAATACATACATATATCAGTCTTCTTCGCTTGGCTAGCACTTTTGCGCTTTAATTAGAATAATTTAGAACTTAAATAATACATTAGTTTTTTTTCCTTATTTTTTAACATTGTAAAGCTTTAAAAATGATACAAAATCTATCTATCAATTAAACATGTTCAGACATTCAAGTCTAAAAAAAGTAATATACCTTTGTAAACTAAACGCAAATACCCCCATATACCACAAAAAAGAAATAAAAACTTAGTTTTATTTTAAAGTACTATTAATATATGAAACACACGAAGCTGACTTTACAATAAAGTAGATATAAGGTTTCAGCATAACTGTCCTACTATGCCCCACTCTTTTGTTTTAGTGTTTGATAAATTCGACAATGATGAGGTACTCAATTGAGAAGCATGTTAAGATTGTTAAAGCTTTTTACAAAAATGAGTGCTCAAATCAAAAAGCATTTTGTCAGCGTAATTGACCAAATGTATCCACAATTGGGTGAATTGTGCGTAAATTTTAGCGAACCCGGTCTGTTGGAAATGTAAAAACATTTGTGCATGCTCACCAGTTTGTTCTGCGTAAAAAATTGATCTTGTTTGCAATAGTGTGGCAGAAGAGCCGCCAACCTTGACTCCTAATGGTGTCTAACAATTGAACATCTCACGTACATCACTGATGCAAATTTTGAATAAAGATTTGAACACGGTTCAATTACCTTAAGAGCTGACCTACTGAACATTTCGCTGTCAGTACGCCAAATGGTTGGTTGAACAAACAGAAATGAATGATAACTTTACAAAAAAAAATCATCTTCAATAAAGAGGCACACTTTTACCTCAGTGTATTTGTTAATCTAAAGTTCATATGTTTATAGATTTTTGTTTTATTTGATTTAGAGATAATGAGTTCAGTTTTATTAGAGTTTAGAAAAAGGTTTTTGGAGCGAAGCCACTGAACTAGATTGGCAAGATCATGGTTAATGTGTTGGTTGATTTTTTAAAGGGATTTATTAATTAGCATTGATTAGTATCATCAGCAAAGTGGTAAACAGTAGAAAACTTAATGGATGTATGAAGATCATTAATATAAAGAAGAAAAAGCAGTGGTCCTAATACTGAACCTTGAGGAACATTATTAGAACATTTTACAAGGGTAGATTTTGAGTCATTAATAGAAAAAAATTGTGTTCTACTGTTTAAATATCTAGTAAGCCATTTAAGGGGTATGCCTCTAATCCCATAATATTCTAATTTTTTCAACAAAATTGAATGATCTACTGTATCAAACGCTTACTGTAAATTGACAAATACACCACATGCAAAATATTTATCATTGATTGCTTTTCTAATCAGTTCAGTGATTTCAATGAGAACATGAGTTGCGGAGTGATTGGCACAAAATCCATACAGATAGGTGTAAAAGCATTTAAATTTTTCAAGAAAAGCATATAGCCTATTATGCATTGCCTTCTCAAAGAGTTTACCTATATTAGAAAGCAGGGAGATAGGTTGGTAATTGATGAAATCTAGTAGGGAGCCTTTTTTAAATATTAGAATAACTTTGGCAACTTTAAAAATGTCTGGAAAAATACCACTTTTAAATGAGTTATTTATAACAGTACAGAGAGGCTTTGAAATAATGTGTGAGACTAGTTTAAGAGGGAATGTATGTACGCTATTTGGACCAAGGCTTTTTTCAGTTTTGAGTGTATTTGTAATGAGACCAGATATTTAATTTTCAGTTACAGGATTAATAAAAAACGATTTAGCATTTGGAATGTTAAGAAAGTCACTAAATATGCATTTAGGGGGTATGGCTTTGCAAAGTAATTTATGTATAGTGCTAAAAAAATTATTAAATATATTAGATACGGCAGTGTGACCATTGATAAGATTTTCGTTCAGTTTAAGTTTAAAAAATATATTGTGTGTAGAAGGTCTAATATTAATGATTTCTTTTATTCCCTTCCAGGTGTTTTTAATATTGTTTAGATTATTATTAAAATATGTATAAAAGTATTTTTTTCCTAAATTTTAATAAATTGGAAATTTTGTTTCTATAAAATTTAAATTTTGCAAATAATTCTTTTTTCTTATAAATATTTTTTAATTTTATAAACTTTTTATAAAGTTTGTTTTTAACTGAAATAGATTTAAGTATTCCATACATAATCCAAGGTTTTGATTTTAGATTAATTTGTTAGCTGGTTAGTATTTTGTAAGGAGCATGTCAGTCTAAGACATCATAAAATGTTTTTAAAATAAAATTCATGGATTTATTAACATCATCATCTTTTTTAATGGAGAGTTCCCAGTTGATATTAGAAATTTCTTCAATAAATATATTTTTATTAAATTTTTTGAAGAATCGTCTTTAAGTATTTACTTTTTTGGGGTGGTTGGGTATGCAAGTACATTGTGCCATGTGGTCTTAAATTGAAATTGTAAGGTTACCTGAGTATTGATCAGTTGAATGAAAGTTTGTGAATATGTTATCAATGAGCGTTTTTGATGTAGCCATTATGTGTGATGGTAAATTATAGAAGGACTTAATGAGTAAGATGTTAAAGACTTTATAGATCCATATTAAAATCACCCAATAGAAGAATTTTTTTTTCATTACTTAACTTTTCAAGTAGAGGAGTTAAGTGGGAAGAGGTAAACTCATGTTGATTCATTGAAGGATGATGGTAAATGCAGCCAATTATTATATTTGATTCACAAGGTTTTGCAGTTTCAACAAAAATAGACTCTAAATATTTAGAAGAGTAAATCATAAGATCGTTGCGAACGACGTAGTTTAAATTTGAGCGTAAGTATAAAAATGCTCCACCTTTTTTAGCCTCAGTAGGACAATGCTCAATAATAAACCCATTTATGTATATATCAGTTATATTTGTATCTTTTACATATAAATTAGATTCTGTAATACTTATTGTTAAGGGAAAATTATTAAAAGAGCTTATAAGACTACAGAGTTCATCAATGTTAAGCAATGTTAAGATAAATATATAGTTCTGAATTGGGAAGCATAGTTTTATTGAGATCAATAATGTCATAGTATTTGCATTTAACAGATTTGGGGAATTTATTTAGATCTTTAAAGATATTTTTATGATTATTTGAAGTCTCAAAAGAGTTTAATGAACTAGTAGATACATTCTTGCATAATAATGTTGACTTTAACTTGGAAGATGGAAATTGAGCTCAAGGTCATACTTTTAGATAAACAGCTATGACAAATCTGACGAGTCATTCAATAGAAGATTATAAGAGTGTGCGTCAATTTGGTTACACTTTGCATGGACCCATGAGTTACAAAGATTACATTGGATGGCTCTTTGATTATCAGCTATATTTTTACGACAAGTGTTGCATAGAGATTTAAATGCCATGATTTTTAGAAAAAATATATACATGTACATGCAGTATTAACTAGTTACAAGTGTGAAATGTGTGAAATGGAGACTAAAACAAGTGTGAAATAGAGACTAAAAAAAAAAAAAGAAAAATTATCTAATGATGCATAAAATTGACAGCAAAAAAATAAATAAATTGTACACTGACAAAATAATTTAAGTTTTAATGTAAACCGAGCAAATTGATCAATCAAACTAGTAAATAAAATTGAAAATTTATAAAATTTTTTAATGGACTTTTGGAAATAAAATAAAATATAGTGTTTCAGCAAAATGGCGTCAAGAAAACTTGTCTTTCAAGAAAACAATATTTGTCTTTCCATCAACAAAGCCTTGTAGTTGAAATCAAGGAAAATCCTACTATCAGATCCAAAAAGAAACAGGAGTTCATTTTATGACAGTGACAGAAGATTTTATGACAGTGTCTTCAATTATTAAGAAGCATAATCTGATAGAAACTATTGCTAGTGTGGCTCTCAAAGCCAACTTGCAACCACCTACTAAAAAATGAGAATGGGAAAATGATGTCATTAATCATTCACACTCTAGCAGGATAGCGATCCAAAAGTAAACAATGCTAAATTTTGACACAAATAATATCAATGTTTTGAAATGACCATCTCAAAGTCCGGACTTGAATCCAATAAAAAATTTGTGGTATATTTTAGACAGAAAAATTGGCAAGCAAGTATTCGAGTTGACCCAAAATTTGGTCAACTAAATACCAAATCACCTAGCTGAGGCCATCAAGGACAAAGGAGGCCCCACTTGATACTAACACTTGATGTTCAAACTCCATGGAATTTGATCAACTTGACTAGGGATGTACCGAAATTCAAGATTTTGTGAATTCCCCCTTCTGTCCAGAATTAAAAATTTTTAGGCTGGAATGCTGGAATTCATTTTTTACCTTTATTTTTTAAGACATGTGACACAGACTGTGTTAATTAAATCAAAAAATCTTTGTCCTACAAGACAATGAAGAAATATAGGTAAACCTAGGTAAAAAATACAAAATTGATAACAAACACTATGTAATTTTATTTGCAGTAACCAATTATGTAAATGTTTTTAGAAGTTTAGGTATATTGTGGTGCAAAAAAAGTTCCTATTCAGTTTTGGGCAACAAACAAGCTCTTTTTTCATCAAAAATGTTACCTGCTTCTGAGAATAGTATAGTCTCATTTTAAATGTTACTTAAATTTTAAAATTACATAAGGGGTAATCCATAAAATACGTACGCTTTTATTTCAAGACCCCCCCCCTCTCCATGCATTTTGCTATATGATATTTTTTTGCAATTTAGAGTCTCAAAATTTCTGATCTGGTACACCCCTAAACTTTACATTATTTTTGAACTGTTCAATTATATATATATATATATATATATATATATATATATATATATATATATATATATATATATATATATATATATATATATAGATTAATTCACCTCCCTAAGGCTGAAAAAGCCACTACAGACAAAAATTACTTTAATCATGGTTACAACACTTTCTCAACTCTATAACTCCAAAACAGGAACCTTAATAAAAAAGGCCTTGGATATAATTTTTATAAAAGAATCTTCCCATATATATTATGATGGCACTCCTACAGTTAGGAACATTTCAAATCCAAAAGCTGTTTATAAAGTGGTGGATGAAACATTTATGACAAGTTTTACTGAAAGTTATGGCAAGCAATATAGCTTGCAACACAGCTTGCAACAAATCTTACATAAGGAATAGTCAGTTTTAAAGTTTAAAAATAAATAAACAAAATTTACACAATTTTGTTTATTTCAATTTACAAAACCAAAAGGACTAGGACCTAATGGTTTTTTGTATGTTACCTACTGTAACAAATTCTTTAAAAAGATTTTAATATATTGAAATAAATTTAATATAGTCAAATATTGTTGCTAAGAAGACAAAGCAAACGTATAACATTAGACATTAGATTAGCTGCAATTTATAAGAAAACAATAAAATTACTTAACAAAAATAATCTGTCATTGACAATCGTAAAAGCTCTTTTAATATTAAAATTTTAATATTAGCACAAAAATGATGAATTTGATGCTAACTTACTACTTACTGTTGATTCTGATTCTTCAGAAATCAAGCATGAAATCTTTGATGTAGACCATGATGCTGTGAACTTGTTCTACAAAATGCAGAACTAAATTCTTTTATTATAAAAATATGAAAGATAGAAAATTTTTTCAGCTAATTTTAGATTGTAAAACTAGTTTAACAGGCATTTGAGTCTGGTAATTAATGAAAAAAGTCTGGTAACTAATGTCTTAAAGATTCAAGAACATTTTAATGAAATTAAAATTGTTGTCAAATACAATATTAGACCTGCAACCTATCAAGTTGGTAGTTAAAACACTCAGTACTAAAAAATGTAATTTAAATGTAGTCATATTAAAGTTTATGTTAATAATTTTAGTAAATCAAAACATTTTTTAGCATTGGAAAAAAACAAGAAATAATATGTTGTATTAAAGAGAGAAGATTTTTAAATGTGTTACACTATATAGCAGTTCTAAATTTGGTTTACTTTCTTAAAGACAATTTAATGTAGTAGTAGTAGTAATACCACAATTATTGAAAGTTGACATTTTAGAAAGCAAAACAAAAATCTGGCAAAAGTAGGTAGAAACACTTAAATGAGTTGAGATTTAAATAACAACATTATTAATTTCAACTGAATCCTAATCTTGAATAGGGAAAATCTTTATTCTCTTATTAAACAAAAAAAACAAAAAAAAAAAACAGAAAACAAAAAAATCAGGAAATGTCAGTTTTTAAAAGAAAAGAACATTAAAGATTTGAAAAAGTTATAAAAACAGGCGTTTAGTAAGAATCAAAAATATAGAAGTTATAAATATAAAAATTTAAAGTTCTACATTAAAAAATCTTTTTTGTAAGGGAAGAGCGGGAAAGGGTACGTTATGTGAAGATATCCCCCAATAATAACGTTATGTGAAGATATCCTTCAATAAATATAAAAATATAAAGTTCTACATTAAAAAATATTTTTTGTAAGGGAAGAGGGGGAAAGGGTACGTTATGCGAAGATATCCCCCAACTTACAACCAAACTATATCTACTTAATAATTTATCATCATTGAGTATGTGTAAATCTATGCTGTACGTTCTGTAACATCACGTCTAATCTGAGGAATGATTATATAAAATACAATAATATGGGAAGTACCAGTCATATACCTAAGAGCCTATGAAAAAATTCTTTTCATGAACCCATGATGAAAAGAGCACTTTAAAAAAAATCATTTTATAATAACAAATTAGACTTTTTTGGAATTAAATAATACAGAAAACTATGGGTATAGAAATATAGCAAAACGTTTTGCAAAACTTTTTGTAATATAAACATTTTGGTGATATTTTCATAGAAATAAAAATTATAATATATATATCTAAAAGTAAGTGATCTGGTTAACAAAAGGTGTGATCTGGTTAACAAAATTATTAAACTTTCAATTTAGTTCCTAAATTAATTTTAAAAATTAATGGCTAAGATATTTAGTAAATGCAAATAACACTGGATAATTCATGTTGAATATGAAAAACTTAATGCTGGTTAAAAAGAAAGTTAAAATTAGAGATTCAGAAAATGTCATTCCTGAAGATACTCTTCGATTTTGGTACAAGCAGTTCAATGAATGCAAAGCAACAACTAACAACTTTTTAAAATACTCTTGAAAAAAACATTCCTAAATGATCCTTTTTTATTTTATTTTTATCTTCTTTTATTCTTGCTTGATTTTATACTATATTTTTTAGCTTGCATTTTTACCTTGTAAACAAGTTTACGGAGGATGAATAATAAAATTACAATATATTACAGGGCTTGAATTAACGCAAAAAAAATTTAACCGCGAAAAAAAGTAATTTAACTAAATATAACTTTAAAATATTATTAGCTTCCATGCAGAGGTTTAAAATAATTTAAATTCAAAAGCGCTTTATTTTGAATGAAAATACCTGTGCAAGAGAGCAAATGATCATACTTCAATTCAAATTATAAATTTAGCATGATGTATTTTATGACCCCTAATAAAAAACTTTGAAAAAGTATTCTCTATACCTTTAAAAACGGCCACAAAAATGCTAAATTAAAAAAGAAAAAAAAATTAACAAAATAAGAAAAAAAAAAGCAAATTGCGAAAATATTTTTTTAAAGAAAAAACTTATCGCAAAGGTGTGAAAAGCAATCACACTTTGCGATCGCGATATGCTTAATTCAAGCCATATAATATATTTATAGCTAATGAAGATATTTAAAAATTGAAGCAAAAATTTGTTCTTTGATATCAGCTAATGATTCTCAACTAGACGTTTGTCAATAAACTTTAAAAAAACTGTCAACATTCGTCAAAAAAAACAACACAAAAAACACACACAAAATTTTTTTTGTTGAGTCCTGAATGTGTGTGTAATTGTTAAGTTAAATTAATTCTTAAATAAAATGTTTATATAAATATATATATATATATATATATATATATATATATATATATATATATATAATGTTTTTGAGTTCAATACATTAAAGAGTAAAAACACTTACTTTCCCTGTTGAGATATAGTACAAGCTATCAAATCACTATTATTTAGATCAAGAACTTGAGATTCACATACTGGATTATCAACTTTGCTTAATGGAAGAAAACTTTCAGTTTCTTTTTGTACATCTAACAGTAACTCTCGCATCATAATAAAAACATGAGCAGCCTTAAACATTTTTTTATAAAATATAAATTTATTTATAAAAGAAAACAATACCTTTTTTTTTCGAATAAATTTCAAGCAAAATTTTATTTATTATTACAAATTTATTTTTACATAAAAACAACAACAACAGCAACAAAAACTTGTACAAAGGTAATAAAGTAAATAAATAACTATTACAATTAACATATTTAATAAACTCATGGCTAGCATTAGTATAATTAGAAATAATTAGCAAACTTAAAGCTAGCATTAGTATAATTAGAAATAATTAGTAAGCTTATAGCTAGTATAATTAGGAATAATTAGTAACTTTATAGCTAGCCTGAGAATAATTAGAAATAATTAGTTAATTTATAGCTAGCATTAGTATAATCGAAATAACTAGTAAACTTATAGCTAATATAATTAGAAATAATTAGTAAACTTATAGCAAGCATTAGTATAATTAGAAACAACTAATAAACTTATAAAAAATAAAATACCCGCTGAGCTCTTTCGCTATCTCCACATGGCAACCTTTTCATAAAATCAATGCCAGTTAATGGAGTGACAGTAGCAGGAAGTAGAAGAGATGCATCCATTGTTATATATTCTACATTTAGTGGTTTTGCCTATCCAAGAAAAAAAAATTCATTTAAGTTTTTTTCATAATAAGCTTACATTACATTAATATGTCTATTGTTTTTAAACTACCATTTCTACAAATTACTAATGTCATTGTAACTTATTACTTTATATTGTTTTATAAAAGAGTTAAGAGTTAAGATAGAACTATATATGATATAAGCATGACAGAAAACAAAACTATTGGTGAAAAAAAGCCTAAATATTTAAATGTTAAATGTGGCGGTATAAGAATTACACCCCAAGAACACCCCAAAAATATTTATAAAACTGTACTATACATTTATATTTAAAAACTAATTTTTATAGTAAATGAGAGCAAAGTGTTTACAAGACTAAATAACATTTAAAAAAATTGATTTTAAACATAACTTGTATTTTATAAAAAAAAAAATGTTTTTTTTAGTGCGACAAAATTGTAAGACACTTATGGAAAAAATTTATATAAATTGTCTTTTATAAAAAAAGACGTATTGATAGTGGGTACTGTTATCATTTTTTTTGAATCATTTCAATCATTCTAGAAGGTAAAGAATCATAAAACTTTTTTATGTACAAAATGTCAATTGCATCCCACGCAGATGTGATGGATTTCAAGTCAGCTAGTGAACTATATTTTTTACCACCTTCAAACACTATGTGACAGCTGTGCCCAAGCATTTTCAATAATATTCAGATCTGAAGATCTAGCTGGCCACTTCAATGTTTCAATTTTACTGTTGTTGAAATAATCCTTTACTATCTTAGTTGTATGAATGCTAGCATCATCTTACCGAAAAAGAAAATTTTCACCACCAATGATAGATGCTTTACGTTGTAAAAATTCATGAACAGTAAAAAGATAATCCTAAGCCTTTATTTTTCCATCAAAATAAATTTCTGATTTATCATAATACCTAGTTGCACACCAAATCATTACACCACCACCACCCACCTTATTGCTGTATTACTGGTTCTTTATGCACATCGTGAAAATAATAATTCCATCTAGCTGACCCATCAAGACAAAATTATTTTTCGTCAGAATATATTACTCATTACCACTCTTCTTTCCATGTTATGTGGTCCTTTGCAAAAGTTATTCATTCATTTATATGTATTATTGTCAAAGGTTGTTTTTGCTGAAAATTTTTGCTTAAAAGGTGAAAAGCATTATGAACTTGAAAAACATTATGAGCTTGAAAGGTGAAAAGCATTAACTCACTGAACTGTACCTAAATTAGTGATCACACCTGTTTATGCAGCAATTTGGCGCGCAGTTATTGAAGAATTTGAAGCTTGTCTTAACAACCTTTGCCTATCACGGTCACTAAAAGTTTATGGAGATCCGGGACTTTTTTTTATTCTATACATACGAGGACTATTTACATAGTTTTTAATCACAGTTCGGCTGCATCCAATGGTTCTAGCCATGTAACTATAGGAGTGATCCATTTTTAATAAGTTAGAGAGCACTTTTTTCTCACCTAGACTCAACGGTGTAACATGACCCATTATTAAACAATTTGTTATTTTATACCTAATAAAAAAATTTAAATTTTGGAGAGTTTAGAACAGTTTACAGTTAAATAATCGTCTATGGTGTTAACATCAAATAAATATTTGTAATTGCCCACACTGCGGTTTGTAAATAAAACGTTTTTTGTAAAATTGTCTTTTAATTTTGTCACACTGGAAAAATGTTTTTTTTATATAAATTGCAAGTTACGTCTAAATGTTGTTTAGTGATGTAAACCCTTGCTTTCATTTACAATAAAAACTAGTTTTTAAATATAAATATATAGTAGAGTTTTATAAAAATTTTTTTGTCCTATCATCATGTCAAGCAGTGTATCATATTTAATGCTACCACTAAATTAATAACACAAAATATAAGAAAAATAAAAACAGAAAAAAAAGGTGGTTCTCTCTTTACTAGCAGCATTGTTGCTATTTTTAATACATTAATCAAAATGTACCAAAAAGCAGAGTCAATAGTCAACAAAATGTACCAAAAAGCAGAGTCAATAGTCAACAAAATGTACCAAAAAGCAGAGTCAATAGTCAACAAAATGTACCAAAAAGCAGAGTCAATAGTCAACAAAATGTACCAAAAAGCAGAGTCAATAGTCAACAAAATGTACCAAAAAGCAGAGTCAATAGTCAACAAAATGTACCAAAAAGCAGAGTCAACAAGATCGACATTTATTTGTTTTTTTTTTTTAATCTCAAAAAGAACTTAAAAGTAAGTAAAATAGTGTTTTTATTATAATTTAAAAAATAATGAATAAGAAGGTTCCATAACGGGCATACAATATCATTAATAATATATTTATAAAGCATGAAACAATATATTTTTAAACATTTTTTAATGTTGGAGAACATTTTGACCCCTCCAACAATTGTACAATCAGTCTTCTTTTTTTTGTTATTAGCAAAGTCTTTAGGTCTTTGATCAACAAATTTAACATCCCATCTTGAGTCAAATCATAAGGGATAAGGTCTAAAAACGCATTTTAAACATAAAAACTAGCTGCCAGACAAATATAGTTTTCGATCTCTTTGCTCTATGGCAAGGAGATCGAAAACCAAATGGTTTTCGATTTCCTTTCCCCACACTTCTTCCCTTTGGAAATCTTGTTTATGTTATTAAGTCAGTTCAACTAAATTTTGATAACTTTATATATATATATATTTATATATCAAGATTGCATTGCTTAAGAGCAAGATTAGTGTATTAATATTAATATTTGTAGCGGTAGATCAATTTAGTTTTTTTTTTCACTATAAATGCTCTCAAGAAAAATTCTTTTCTTGATTTATAGTGTACATATATCTTATATAGTTAAAGTCATAACATATATCTTATATAGTTAAAGTCATAACATATATCTTATATAGTTAAAGTCATAACATATATCATAACATATATCTTATATAGTTAAAGTCATACCATATATCTTATATTGTTAAAGTCATAACATATATCTTATATAGTTAAAGTCATAACATATATCTTATATAGTTAAAGTCATAACATATATCTTATATAGTTAAAGTCGCCTTGCATTAAAACTATTTTTTGTTTATAAGTCAAAAGCCTCTTCAAACTTTTGAAGAATATACAAAAACCTCTAATATTGATTAGGGACTTATTAATAAATGTGTCATTTACTTTTTTTTAAATTCTATTTTGTTCCTGATAGTGAATGCTGTAGATAATGTACTGTATTATTAAGAACAAAATAAAACAGTATTACGAAATCATTATCATATCAAATTATAATATAATAATCATATAAAATTATATTATTAAACACTAAAACCATATTAAGATTTTACTGTTTTTATAAACAAATTTTTTTTAAACTAAACTAAACTATTACTAGTAAGTGGGGGCCCCGGCTAAAAATGAGACTTTTTGGAAACCTGCCGGGGCCCCAACAAAATTATAAGATTTAGCATGGGTTGCTAGCTGAGGCTAGAAAAATATATATATTACTTTAAAATAGAGAATAGAGTTAAAAAGCTAGAAAATGGTTAACTGAAGACTTGAAAAGTTGTAGGTTGTATGTATGATAATGTAGGTTGTATGTATGATAATGATGATCATGATGATGGCAATGATGATTATGATGATCATGTTGATCATAATACAACAATGAATTTTGAATTAAAAAATATACTTTAGGATGTATAATGTTTATGCAACCCTGGTCACAAACCCAGTCCCTGCTATTTTTTATCAAACCCAGCCCCGGCTCTGGTCAAATTTTAACCCTGGTCATTTCTAAACTATTACTTGTTTTTTTAATATGTTTTTTCATACAGAAAAGTATAGACACAATTGTTTATTTGATAAAAAAATTGATCTTTAAGTTTAGTGTTTCAAGTTTTTAAAACTTGAGATCAAATTTAGGTGGCTTGGAGCAATAGCGCTTTCATTAATAGAATCGATTTTCATGAATCCAAAAAGTTTGTTCAGTATTACGATTTGCTTCTCTTGTTATTTACTAAATTGTGTATCACTTTCAGTAACAAATTTAAAATTTTCTGTTGAGCGCGGTCACATTAAAACTAGTGTTATTAAACTTTTTATTATCAGAAAGTCTGAAGAAAGAAGTTTTTATTATCTAGTCTGTATAAAGAAGTTTTTCATCCCTAGTATTTACCATATCAACCATGATTGAAAAACTTCTTAAATAAAATTGTGTATACCTTTAAATGGTGATATTGTCCTTCAAATGTGTCAACAAAAAAATCATCACCCTAAAAATCAAAAAGGAAAAATCTTCAATAAATAAAATATGACTTTTTGATTAAAATTGATCCAAAAACTTTAAAGTTTTAAAAAACATAACAGTTATTAGTACCTTATAAAAATTTCGAAGTTGTAAAATAGTTTCTTCCCTTATGTTCTAAAAAAGTTAACGTTATTATTCAATGTATATATATACTCATATGTTTGTTGATATAAACAAGTTAAAAACAAAATAAAAAAACCTGTAACATAGCAAAATGTGCATCTGTAATTCGAATAATGTCTCCTTGAATAACTAACATACGAATTACTTTTATACACATTTCAAAAGTCACTAATCTCATACATGAACCTATAACCAATAAAAATTCATTAACAAACATTTTCTCTTCTACACAAATGGCATTGGTGTTGAATTGACTATAACATTGGTGTAAGTCAACTATAAAATTAGCGTTCGTGGTATGTTTTAGTTTAGTTAGGTGTGTGTTTAGTTTAGTTAGGTGTTGAGTTTAGTTTAGTTGGAAGTAAGATTGGTGTAAGTCAACTATAAAATTAGTTTGAGGTGTATGTTTTAGTTTATTGTTGAGATTAATTTAACAATTTGAAAATTTTCATAGCTCAAAATCATAAGATTTTCTAATTTTTAAATTTTGGAAAATTACAAAAAAAATTTAAAAAATTTGAAATAAACATTTTCTAAACTAAAACAGAATCAACTATAAACAAACAAGTTATAAGCAAATAGAATTAAATATAAAAAAATAATCCTAAAAAAGATTAAAAATAATTCTATTAAAAAATTTTACCAAATTATTTTCTATGGCTTTGTTAAAATTATATTATTACACACATACCATCACAAACACCTAATTCCAAACAATGCAGCAATTTATCCATAATATCATTGTTGTATTTGTCAGATTGCTGAAAAAAAAAAAAATTTACATGTACAATACAAGTCAATATAAACCAGTGTTTCTTACTCGGGTATTCCTTACCCGCTACCCAGATAATTTGCGATTTTTTTCACACCCATTCTTAACCGAGGTAATTTTGAAAAATTACTAGAGTAATTTTAAGTTTTAAAGACTTTTTTGCGTAATTGCAAATTTGTTGCGTAAATGCAAATATTTGGCTGAGATCAACTTTGTCAGAACATTTAATTGTATGAAAAGTTTTATAATATAAATCCACCACCTTTATTGAATTTATTAAAGCTTCCAGCTTAGTCTGCAGATATTACATAAGTAATAATACAATGTAAACAAATCAAAATTGAGATGTTCACATGTAAAAGATTTATAATGAATTAAAAGTTTAATTTTTATTTATTCTAAACATTTAAAAATTACACATGTTTTTTTAATAAGAAACTTTTTTATATAAAACTTGTACTAAATGATAAGACTTGTCTTTTAAATTAATTAAAAAAAAACAACATAAAGTTTTATTTTATGGTAAATGTTAAAGATAACCAAGCAAGAGTATATCGTCGGGGATAGTGCAAACCCGTGTAACTAGCATTGGCTACTATAATTGGATATGAATAAATTTATTTAATAATGATATAAATAATAATTTTAATGCCAAATATCAATTGTTGACATAACAATGAATAAAACTCTTTAAAAAATCTGTAAGGCAGATATGTAGTGTTGTATTATCCAATGCTAGTTAGGCAAATTTGCACTATCCCTGATGTTATATATATATATATATATATATATATATATATATATATATATATATATATATATATATATATATATATATATATATATATATATATCATGCCTTCCCGGGAAGCGCATGTGGTCGCACGCCATGTTCGTCCATGCTTTAAATAATTTTTTTAGACAACTTGACCATGTTTTTATATAGTAAGCGTTTTAAGAACTCGCGGCAAAATAATAGCTATAAGAAACCTAGAGAATAAAATAACAATACTTGAAGAAAAGAATCAAAAACTGTACAAAATAGAAAATCTAAATAAAATAAGCTAAAAAAATAGAATATTAAAAAAAAAAAAATTGTTGTCAAAAAAATAATATATTTAAATATTTTACTGTTTTTATTTTCTTATTTTTAGGGCATTTGTTTTTTTTTCCACTACCAAAATTGATACAAGTCGAGGAAAAAAGTAGATAAGAATATAATGAAATTTTTTTTTTTTTGATATACAATTTTTCCGCAACTTATTTCAGTCAATATATTAAGGAAATACTTTATAATTTGCGCTAGAAACACAGACAATTTTTAAATTTGTTCTTCAAATGTCTTTGCTAAACTTTACTGTTTTAGCAAACTAATTGCTATTGATTTGTGAAATTTTAATTTTTTATTTTAGCAAGTTTTTTTATGTAAAAAAATAAAACGATGCTCCAAAATCTTGTGGGCATTGTTAATTTACTGAACTTTTTAAAAAAATTTTTAGGAGCCTAAACTTTTTTTTAAGTTTTTAAATACATAATTTTAAACAGAACAATCGTTATGTTTTATATAGTAAATTAGTTTCTTAGTTATGTGAACTGATAAAAATCGTGAATAAATTGCATATCAAAACTTTCAATTGTGGTTAAATTGTTATAAAAGATGTTTTTTTCAACAACGACAACTTTTGTATTCTTTTCTAAAAAAAGAATACAAAAGTTGTATAAAAATGTTATAAAAAATCAAATTTTTTTTTAACATTTTTTTAATTAATAAATTAGTTTAATTAGTTTATTTAATTTAACTTGATATTTTATTTTCAATTTTGTTTCCCTTTTTTAGGATTTTTTTTTTAAGTAGATTTAGCTTTTTGCCACAAATTATTGAAACGCTTTATAAGTTATGTGAACTACTGTGGTCAGTTTGACTAAAAAAATTACTTTAATCATGGACAAACAAGGCGTGCGACTGCACGCGATTCCCGGAAAGACTTGATATACAGTACTGGACAAAAGTCTGAGACCAAGGGTTGAAAAAGACTAAAAACTGATTTTAACCATAAAATTTTATTCAATGAACAACCAAATGTCAATTTTTTCCAATATAATTCATATTAGTAATTCAACATAATTCAGAACACAACAATTTATTGTCAGCATCACATGATGTGAGGAAAACTGATGAGTAATACAATTGTCATATATGTAGTATGTTGCACGCATAACTTCTTTGAACTTTATATGAACCATGCACTATATTATTCGGTTTTGCGTTGATATTTGCGTTAGTTTATTACTGCGCGATGGCAAGTTATAGATTAAGTAATAGTTTATAGCAGATAATAAACATGAAAGTGTCCTAGGATTGACGCATATTAGCGCTGTTGTGGTATTATGTTGTTATATACATGCATTACATACATACATACTGTATTGCATATTTATATAGTTATTGTTTAATGAATCTGGCATTTTCTGTTTGTGCTTCAAATTCTGATTTTTGAATTTAGCATTAATTTTCTTTCACTGAAATGTGTGAGTTACAAATATCAGTTTGAGCACAGATCAGTATTTTAAAAGAGGAGGGATACACCGAGAGAACCATTGCTGAACGTTTGTCTGTTTCTAAAACTGAAGTTCATAACACAATAACTCGATTGCAGCAGACTGGCAGTTTAACTTCCCGAAAAAGATCTGGTAGACCAAAATGTACCTCTATGCAGGCTGACCGCTTGATTCATCGCACTTGTACTAATTCTCCAATGTCATCATCCACAGTAATACAACACAACTTGCCATCCTCTGTTACTGTTCCCTCCAGAACTATCAGACGAAGACTATCCTCTGATTTCAACCTGCATGCCCGTCGCCCTTCCATTAAATCTAGGCTTTCTGCCAAGAACATCAAGGATCGGATTGCCTTTTGTCAAAAGCACAAAGACTGGACAGCGTTGGATTGGGCGCGAGTAATGTTTTCAGATGAAAGTCAAATAAAGCAGTATGCTTCTCTTCATTCTTTTGTTTATAGACCTGTTAATCAGCGACTGAATCCCAAGTACACCAAATGCAATGTTAAACAGTGCCAATCAATCATGGTTTGGGTTTCAATTTCAACCAGAGTACAAGCAGATATTTGGTTCATGCCTCCTAAAACAACCATTAATGCCAATGAATATCTGAAAATTTTGAAAAGCAATTTGCTTCAGTGGCTGCCTCTTTCTGGTTGTACAATCTTCCAGCATGATGGTGCACCATGTCACCGGGCAAAGGTGATTACTAAATGGCTTGCTAAGAAAAATATTCAGGTACTTTCTCCTTGGCCGGGATCCTCGCCTGACTTAAATCTAATAGAGAATTGCTGGCATCTGTTAAAGAAAAAGGTAGCCGCTTTAAAGCCATCATCATATGATGATTTGAAAAAAAAGATAATGTTGGTTTGGTCCAATGAAATCACTCCTGCTTATTGTGAAAATTTGATCAATTCTATGCCCAGGAGAATTACTGCTGTTCTAGCGGCTAAAGGAATGCCCATAAAATACTGACATGACATGAACATTTTGTGTTTTATTTCACAAAGTATGTTGTACTTATTCCTAGTAATATGAATTATATTGGAAAAAATTGACATGGTTGTTCATTGAATAAAATTTTATGGTTAAAATCAGTTTTTAGTCTTTTTCAACCCTTGGTCTCAGACTTTTGTCCAGTACTGTATATAAATATATAATAATGTGTATATAAATATTATACTATTATTAGGGTTCTGCAAATCAGAACTTTTAGTTTCAAATCGAAGCAGTACTTAATTTGCAAATTTAATCAAATCTCAAATTAAATCACTCATTTAAAAAATCTGAATTTAAGTTTTTTATCTCTATATTCTTGCAATATACAACTAAACAATTAGAATGTTATTTGAATAAGCTCTTTTTGTTACTTTTAGCCGAATTAACCACTCTGCATTTTGCTTGGAAAGGCTATTGCGTTTACTGACAGTTACTTCTAATTCCACAGAGTCAACTCTTTTTGATGAACAATTTGTAGATTGTGTAGCAAGAAGATCAAAATAATAAATGAAAAATGTTAAGTTTTCTCTTCCTTTAGAGAATAGGGCAATCTAAACGTCCCAATGTTTTCTCTTTGGTGTACGCAGTAATTTCAAATTTTATTTGCTGATATTAAGTTATTCTTTCTGGTAGGGTACAACTTTTAGAAACATATTCAAACATTTTATCTAAAATTCAATTTATTTCAGATGAGAAGTTTGTTCTCTCAATTTAAACTTCATCGAGAAACATAGAAATACTTTAATCATGCTTTTTTTCAGATACCATTAAGCTCCCACAATTAGCACATCTGATAAGGTAAACAATACTGATTCAAATCGAGGGTCTAAGAAGGTAACAATAAGAAAAACGTCTTTACTTAATTAAACTTGATTTTCAACTGCGTCGTAAGACCATCAACAAATTTACTTATTCTGTTTTTATCCATTGACCAAAGCTAACTTTTCAAAGTTATAATGCATGGATAAACTAATCTAATGCTCGCGCTTTTTTCTCAATTAGAATAGTTTCAGATTCAAAATAGGAGTGACAATTGTTAATAACTGCACTTGCATTTCAATTAAACAAATTTTCAGTTAGACAAGTCAGTCAAGTTTTTAATCCATCCCAATAAGTTAGAAGTGCTGTTAAAGGGCATTTACACATCAATTGGGGGTTTTGACTCGGGTGTTTTTGAGAAATCTAATACTTTTTTGAGAGTTGCCAGTCTGAATGATGTTGAGTGAAAGAACCCAACTATTTCATGAGCTTTGCTAATTAATGTCACAAGAATTGGTTGGTTGTGGATAGCTGATTTCACACCAAAGTTGGATTTTATGAACACAGCAACCTAGCCAATCGATTCCAAGAAGTTTAAGGGCATACGGCATACTAGGAGTAGTGTCAGTTGTAGCTCATAGAATATTATCTAAAACCAAGTCAAAATTTTACAGCACGTTTCTTATAAATTCTTTAGTGGAAGTAGCTTTGTGACAAGCATTTATTATTTCCAGATTTACAACTGATAAAGAGCATGGTTCTAAAACCCACAAGGATAAAAATATAGCGACAATTAGAAACAAGAAAGGATCAAACCAGATCCAGAAGCTGTCTCAAATGATTTTCAACCTTCAATTATAAATCTAAGCACTGCTTTTATTTAATAAAAAAAAAATTGAAATAAAATAAATGTCTAATTAAATCTAATATAAAATATATTTATTTGAGATATTTATTAATGAAGAGTCATGATTTTTTAATTATGTTATCAAATTTTTTTTTTGCTTCATGCTTTTTAGATGCTTCTTGGTATGTCATATTTTAAATGGTTCCATAGATGAGATAAAGTTCCAGTTTTCTGAACAGATCATTTTTTGTTGCAACTTTTGCCAGAATGTTCCGTTTTTTTCCATTACAACCAGAAACTATAGAACGAAGTGGAATATTGATTTTATGAATTTTTGGAAGGCCATAAAATAAAGGAGATCATGGCATTACTATAATATACATTATTAAAATTTTTTAGCAGATTTTTCATCAATAATGTGGTGATCATGAATTCGATTATTCACAGATCACATATACTTTTAGAAGGTTCATACTGTAAAGGTTTATATAAATTTCAAACTACTAAAAGTTTAAAAATTTTCTGTTAATAGTCTTCTTTATCAAGAATACAAATTTATCTTCTTTATCTACCTATTTTTATAATAATATCATTATTAATCTCCAATGAAAATAAAGCTTGATATAGTATGTGGGATAAATTACTGTGAGATTACACACTTGATGCTTTGATTTTAATGTGTCAAAAAACTTAGAAAATTGTAGTTCAAAGAAAAAAGTTTTTCAAAGAAAACTTTTTTAATCTATTCTATGAAAAACTTTTTAAAATAGAAATAGACTAAATTTACACTCCATAGGTGCAATAGCATATCATGGTTGCTTTAACATCTAATTGATAAAATTATCTGGGTAATACCCGGGTAAATTTAAAATTACACATTACCTAGGTAAATACTTTTGGCTGGATACAGGAAACATTGATGTACATAAAAAAAATTTAAACATTGTCAAACCTAAAAGCTTAAATTTAACATTATTACTTTAATAATCATAATAAATAAAAATAACAAATTTTAAACAAATAATAATCATAGAGCATTTATCACAAAAATAAATAACATTTGAGACAAAATTATAAAAATTTTTTAAGAATTGTGACAAACTTACTTCTGGAGATGCAAGACCAATATCTTTTAGCAAGCTTACTTTAACTCCTAAATATTTAAAACTAATATAGATATGTTCGAATATATATGTACATTTGTATAAAAATATATGAATAAAAAAGTGCGTATATATATATATATATATATATATAATATATATATATATATATATATATATATATATATATATATATATATATATAAATGAAAATATATGTAAATATATGTAAATATATGTAAATATAATATATATATATATATATATATATATATATATATATATATATATATATATATATATAAATATAAATTAGTAGAAAATCTTGTAAAAATTTTTGATTATACAATGTGTTTCATGTAAGACCCGTCAGGAATGATGAGTCTTAATTGATGTTACAAAGTGTACAATGAAATATGTTTGATAATTTTTTTTTAATTTTTTTTTTTCAACATCTTTGCTTCCTACAAGGTTGCAAGCAACCACTTTTAGAGTTGGAAGTTACTGGAAGAAAAAAGATAAAGTTTATAGAGCAAGATAACGATTGACAGACAACTTAAAAAATTGCAAATTATATGAATCAGGAAAGCAAGATAAAAAAAGCGAATTCCAAAGAACTGATGTTTGAGGAAAAAAACTAGATAAATAAGAGTTTTTGGAGCACTTAAAAATAGTCACAGAAAAAGGATGAGACTTAATTTAATGACAAGTAACATGATCATGAATTTAAGTAAATGGCACAAGAGACGCTAGCTCTTTAGAGCAGTGCCCATTATAGTATTTAGAAAAAAAAAAAAAAGAGAAAGAGAAGCAATATTACAACGATGTGATAATGGTTGAAAATAGGCTGCAAGAGCAGGTCTAACAATGTTTACAATGTGTTTTTGCACTTTGTCTAAAAGAAAAAGGGAGTCATTGAAAGATCTGCTCGAGATATGGCAACAGTATTCCATACAAGGACAGATTTGAGATTTATAAAGATAAAGAATAGAATCCTGAGTAAGAAAGTGGCGAGCACAATAAAGAGCAACTTTAGCAGATGCTAATTTTGCAATCGATTTGATATATGGTTTCCAAGAAAGATTGGAGGTAAGAGTTAATCCTAGGAGATTAAGGGTAGATGACTCATCGAGTACATTACCATTCATAAATATAGGAATATCTAGATTATTGCGATAACGATTAGCTGAAAAAAATTGAGTTTTATCTTAGTTAAAGTTTACCAGCCACTGAGAGGCTTATGCAGTAGCAGAAGTGAGATCCTTCTCAAACTTAAATGCCCCCTCCAGGCAATCAGAAAGTGTTGGCTTCTTATCAAGCCAAGAATAAATGGTACTATCATCAGCAAACAATACCACCTTAGATGTGAGAATATCTGAAAAATTATCAATGTAAACTAAAAGTGTATAGGGCAAAGGATAGAACCTTAAGGAATCCTTTAAGTTACAGGATATGAAGAAGAGTGCTGTCCATAAAGGATAACTTTTAAACTACCATTGGTAAGGAAGGATTTAATAAATTAAAAGATGTTACCTGATACATCATAATAAGAGAGCTTATGGAGAAGACCAGCATGCCAAACTTTATCAAAAGCTTTAGAAATGTTGAGAGCAATAGCCTTAACTTCTCCACGTCTATTTAATGCACACTAAAACCTATCAGTTATTATCACTAACAAATCAGCAGTAGTACGAGAAGGTTGAAATCCATATTGATAATTAGAAAATAAGTTATGAGATTCAAGATGAGAGATGAAGTTTTTGTTAATTAAAGTTAAAAATTAATTTTTGTTAATTATTTTTGTTAATCCAAAACCTTTTTTATTTAAGCTTATGATAAGAAGAAGACTAATGGAATGGTAGTTAAACAAGTCAGATCGCTCTCCAGAATTTTTGAAAACAGGGATAACAGATGGAGCTTTCCAGCAGGCTGGAAAACAAGACTTTGATAAGCACTTGTTAAATAGTTTTGAAAGTATAGATGACAGCTCCAAAGAACACTTCTGCAAGACTACAAAAGGTGTGTTGTCCGGACCACAAGCTGTAAAAGTGTCCAAACAGGAAATCAGTTTAGATACAGAAGCTGGAGTGAAAAGAATGTTTAGCAATGGATCAACCTATTTGTTGACTATATCACGTAGAATGCAACAAGTGGAATCAAGGGATAATTTTGATGAAAAGTTCTTAGCAAACAATTCAGCTTTGTCTTTAGGTGAGGTGACAAAATCTGAACCACACAAGAGAAGTGGAATTACAGATTAGCCTTTATTATATATGCTGTTAAAGATTCTTCAGAAGTCACGAGAGTCTAATTTTTGAGATGAAAAACGAGATTTCGTGACCTAAGAATAGCGGGCTTTGACATTAGACAAAACCTTTTTACAATGGATTTTTAGCGATAGTAAACAGTCATCTGTTTTCTGGAGAATTTTGCTGATAGGTATGGAAGTAATGGTTTTATTCACATTGTGCTGCTGCAATTAGAAATTGAAGCAGCACAATGTGAGGAAAACCAGGGAGAAGAGCGAGACTTGACTTGGAATCGTCAAAAGGAAATAAAAGATTCCATGCCAGTGTGAATCCAAAAAGTTATGTAAGAAGCATATTTGTTAGCAGAAAGACAAAAGAAATCTACTCAAGGACTATAATGAAGAAAATCAAGGAAAGAGTCTTAAAACTTAGTAGAACAACAACAACAAAAACTGTAGAGATAGCATTTTTCTTTTGTGGTAATTTTTATGGCATTCTAAGACCTAAAATGCTTTGTCAAAAATCACTGCTGTACAATTAGGGACTTTTTTACTATACTCTCTGCAGATATTGCTTCTATAGTAATGATTCTATAGTAATTTTCTTTGTGACGGCCCTTGGCTAGAAAGATTTCTAGCCAAAGGCCGTCACAAAGAAAATCACGGAAAGAAACCAAGTCAGCTTTAAGTTAGTTGTAAGATGTACGATGATAGGGAGGATAATAATCACAAATATAATCTCAATCTTCTCTTCTGATGAAAAGAACAAAAACTAAAATTAATAAGTTTAAATCATTGTATTTTTATTTTAAGTTTTATTTATTTTCAATTTTAATATACATTATGCATTGTGAGTACCTGAATTGGTCATAATTGCATACAAGAGACACAAAGCAAAAAATGTTTCTCCATCATCTCTATGACTACAGTCGAGAGAGCTCAGAATGTTCTTAAGAAAAAGTCTAAATAAAATAGAAAAAGATTAAAATTAAAAAAGTTAAAAATAAAAAACAAACAAAAAAAGCAAAAAAGAATAAAAAATAATTTTACTTTTCCTTTCCTGGAGTAATACTACTTGCTGGAATGATTTCCGATTTCTTACTTTCAGATAGCTAAATTTATTTTAAGCATACAAAAATTTTACTTTAAAAAAAAGAAATTTTAATACAAGTTATTTTTAAAACTCAAAGCAAAAAATAATCTAATTAAAATTATAAATAATTTTTTTTGAAACTTTTGGTTTTAAACTACCAACACATATTTACTTATATTATATATTTAAATATGTTATACCTATTATAATATATTATATATATAGCATATAAATTAATATCTTAACTTTGCTTTTTTCTATGTAAAAAGCAATTTAACTTTTAGAAAACATGCTACTTATATAAATTAAAAAAGATTAAAAAAAATTATAAAAAGATAAAAAAATATCATAAAACAACATAAAAAGATAAAACCTATCATATAGATAAGTGTTTATTTACTAATCATCATATATATATATATATATATATATATATATATATATATATATATATATATATATATATATATATATATATATATATATATATATATATATATATATATATATATATATGTATATATATATATATATATATATATATATATATATATATATATATATATATATATATATATATATATATATATATATATATATATATATATATATATATATATATATATATATATATGTATATATATATATATATATATATATATATATATATATATATATATATATATATATATATATATATATATATATATATAAATCATTTATATTTATATTATTTAAGTTTTTATAAATTATTTATAAGATCTATTACCTTCATTAATTATAACTTATAATAACTCTAGTATAAACAAAGTAAAACATGAAATAATAAATAATGGGTAATTCCATGTTAATTGAACCGGAAATTTTTAAAAATGTCTCCATACATATCAGACTATGCTAATGTTTATACAGTTGAAAGTATGTAGTAAAAAAAAAAAATTAATTAAAAATTTTAGCCTCTAGCTCCGAGAAGATTCTGAAATTAGACCATTAGAGTGCCTCTAAAAACAACTTTTTTAAAAATTGTCTGCTGCCACCTCCTTAATGTGTTCTATGTAATAAATTTACACTAAATTAAAAAAAATTTTGAATAAAAAATATTTTTAGGGGTTGCTCAAGACCCTTAAACATTAAACGGGTCCCTTATATTTTGAAAAAAAAAAGTTCTTTAAAAGTATACCATGTTGGGTCTCAAAAGAAGTGAAATTTTATAAAAATTTCAAACATAATAAAAACAATTTATGGAAACACAAATTAAAAAAGTTTATAAAAAAAAAATTTTGAAAACAAGTACTTTGTATTTTTTGTTAAAAAATGATTTTTAAGCCATAAAATTTAAACTAGTAATCTTTATATAAAATGATTATTTATTTTTGAAATTTTTATAAAATTTCACTTCTTTTGAGACCCAACATGATGTACTTTTGAAAAACTTTTTTTTTCAAAATATTAGGGACCCGTTTGATGTTTGAGGGTCTTGAGCGACACCTAAAATTTTAATTTTAATTTAGTGTTAGTTTATTACATAGAACACATTTAGGTGGTTGCAGCAGACAATTTCAAAAAAATTTATTTTTAGAGGTACTCTAAGGACCATTAAACTTTTAGCAGATTTTGGCTGAGCCCCTCTTGTCCCCTCAGATAATTACATAACTTTAAAAGTATTTGATCTTTTTACTTAAAAACTTGTATTCAGGGGTGACAAATCCAATAAAATGACCAGAAACATAAAAAATTATTATTAAATACCTGTAACTATCAATTTAAATAAATTAAACTTTTAAGTTTTTTTTGAGGCCTCAGAATGGCTCTAGAAATTTTTTTTATATCGAATGCAACTTGAAAACAAAATTCATATTTTTTAAGACTAATCTTTTATATCTACAAAAAAATGTGCTGTTAGGGCAATGAGTTACAGCTCAATCAGTAAAAATAGAAGCAACTAGTCCCAATCTCCCATACCTATATTACATGCACATATATAATAAGTACTTGTATTAAACGTATACATTTAAAATACAACCCTATTAAATATAATGTAATCAAATAATTTTCAAAAGAATCACCTCTTCTAATTTTTCCTTTGTTTTGCCTAAAAGAAAAAACTCTTTAAGTTATTTGTTGATAAATCTCCTTCCACTAAAAATCTTAAAAAATATTTTTGTCTAAAAAACTTTATTTATTTATTTACCTTTTTTATTTTATAAAGATTTTTTTTTTTACCTTTTTTACCTTAATATTATTATTATTATTTTTTTAATATTTTATTTTCTAATATAAAAATATTATATAAAAATATCATATAATATTATTTTATAATATTTTATTATATATAATGTTTTTAATATATAATTTTTTAATCTTTTTTTAATGTTTAAAATATTTTATTCATTATTATTGATTTTATGTTTATTTGTTAACAGTGTTGTAACAGTCATGTAACAGCTCATCAACAGCGTTAAATATTAAACACTGAATACTACTCAGTTTTGTACGTTCTTTACAGAGGTGGAAAGTAATGAATTACATTTACTCACGTTACTGTAATTGAGTAGTTATTTGTAAGTTTAATTTCAAAAATATGATTAATATGATAATACTATGATTTAATTTTTTTGTTTTTTTAAGTTTTGCTCACTTTAATAAAAATGACACTTTTAAATTGTTTAGAAAAAGTTGAGCGCGCTCATAACAAGTTTTAACTGCTTTAGCTTGGTATCTTTTCACTTTTTACAACTATAAAAAAAAAATTCTGTGCAAAAAAAAATTTGCACAGAAAAGAATAGACTACGCGATTTTTGTTTTTTATTTGACAGCTTTGTTAGTGAAAAAGTAACGCAGTAACTTTTACTCTGAGTACATTTTTAATAAGCTACTTTTTACTTTTACTTGAGTAAACTTTTTGACCGGTAACTTTTACTTCTACTTGAGTAAAATTTCACTCAAGTAACTTTTACTTCTACTTGAGTAAAATTTCACTCAAGTAACTTTTACTTCTACTTGAGTAAAATTTCACTCAAGTAACTTTTACTTTTACTTGAGTAAACTTTTTGACCGGTAACTTTTACTTCTACTTGAGTAAAATTTCACTCAAGTAACTTTTACTTCTACTTGAGTAAAATTTCACTCAAGTAACTTTTACTTCTACTTGAGTAAAATTTCACTTTCAATTTCAATTTCAATTTCAATTTCAATTTCAAATTTCAATTTCAATTTCAATTTCAATTTCAAATTTCAATTTCAAGTAACTTTTACTTTTACTTGAGTAAACTTTTTGACCGGTAACTTTTACTTCTACTTGAGTAAAATTTCACTCAAGTAACTTTTACTTCTACTTGAGTAAAATTTCACTCAAGTAACTTTTACTTCTACTTGAGTAAAATTTCACTCAAGTAACTTTTACTTTTACTTGAGTAAAATTTCACTCAAGTAACTTTTACTTCTACTTGAGTAAAATTTCACTCAAGTAACTTTTACTTCTACTTGAGTAAAATTTCACTCAAGTAACTTTTACTTCTACTTGAGTAAAATTTCACTCAAGTAACTTTTACTTTTACTTGAGTAAAATTTCACTCAAGTAACTTTTACTTCTACTTGAGTAAAATTTCACTCAAGTAACTTTTACTTCTACTTGAGTAAAATTTCACTCAAGTAACTTTTACTTCTACTTGAGTAAAATTTCACTCAAGTAACTTTTACTTCTACTTGAGTAAAATTTCACTCAAGTAACTTTTACTTCTACTTGAGTAAAATTTCACTCAAGTAACTTTTACTTTTACTTGAGTAAAATTTCACTCAAGTAACTTTTACTTCTACTTGAGTAAAATTTCACTCAAGTAACTTTTACTTCTACTTGAGTAAAATTTCACTCAAGTAACTTTTACTTCTACTTGAGTAAAATTTCACTCAAGTAACTTTTACTTCTACTTGAGTAAAATTTCACTCAAGTAACTTTTACTTCTACTTGAGTAAAATTTCACTCAAGTAACTTTTACTTTTACTTGAGTAAAATTTCACTCAAGTAACTTTTACTTCTACTTGAGTAAAATTTCACTCAAGTAACTTTTACTTTTACTTGAGTAAAATTTCACTCAAATAACTTTTACTTCTACTTGAGTAAAATTTCACTCAAGTAACTTTTACTTCTACTTGAGTAAAATTTCACTCTTTCAATTTCATTCTTGAATCAAATAACTTACTTTCTGATCATCAATATGGATTTCGGTCTTCTCGTTCTACAGCTGATGTGCTAACAGTAATAACCGATAGGTTTTACCGTGCATTAGATAGAGGTGGAGAGGTTAAGGCTATCGCACTTGACATTTCTAAAGCTTTTGATAAAGTTTGGCATGCTGGTCTTCTCCATAAGCTTTCTTCTTATGGTGTAGCTGGTAACGTCTTTAAGATTATTGAGTCCTTTCTTTCCAATCGTAGTATAAAAGTTGTCCTCGATGGACAACACTCTTCTTCACATCCTGTAACTTCAGGGGTTCCTCAAGGTTCAATCCTTGGCCCTATACTCTTTTTAATTTACATTAACGATCTTCCAGATATTCTCACATCTAAGGTGGCATTATTCGCTGACGACACTACCATTTACTCTTGTCATGATAAGAAGCCTACACTCTCTGATTGCTTGGAGGGGGTATCTGAGCTTGAAAAGGATCTCACTTCTGCTACAGCTTGGGGCTCACAGTGGCTGGTGAACTTTAATTCAGATAAAACTCAATTTTATTCGGCCAATCGTTATCGTAATAATTTAGATCTTCCAATATTTATGAATGGTAATGTACTAGATGAGTCATCTACCATTCATCTTCTAGGATTAACTCTTACTTCTGATCTTTCTTTTAAACCGTATATCAAATCCATTGCAAAATTAGCATCTGCTAAGGTTGCATCTCTTTATCGAGCTCAACACTTTCTTACTCCAGATTCTATTCTCTATCTCTATAAATCTCAAATCCGTCCCTGTATGGAATACTGTTGCCACATCTGGGGCGGATCTTCTAATGATGCTCTTTCTCTTTTAGACAAGGTGCAAAGGCGAATTGTGAACATAGTTGGACCTGCTCTGGCAGCCAATCTCCAACCTTTGTCACATCGTCGTAATGTTGCTTCTCTTTCTCTTTTCTACAAATACTATAATGGGCACTGCTCTAAAGAGCTAGCGTCCCTTGTGCCATCTACTAAAATTCATTCTCGTGTTACTCGCCATTCAATTAAGTCTCATCCTTTTTCTGTGACTGTTCCTAAGTGCTTCAAAAACTCTTATTCTTCTAGTTTTTTTCCTCGAACATCAGTTCTTTGGAATTCGCTTCCTTCATCTTGCTTTCCTGATTCATATAATTTGCTATCTTTTAAGTCATCAGTCAATCGTTATCTTGCTCTACAGATTTAGTCTTTTCTCTTCCAGTAACTTCCAACTCTTATAGTGGTTGCTTGCAGCCTTGTTGGAAGTGAAGATGTTAAAAAAAAAAAAAAAAAAAAAAAAAATTTCACTCAAGTAACTTTTACTTCTACTTGAGTAAAATTTCACTCAAGTAACTTTTACTTGAATACAATTTTTTTACTTTTACCACCTCTGATTCTTTACCACTATTTTTTAACAAATCACGATTGTACATTTTTTCTTATGAGCAAACACATGCATACATACCTACATGCATAGATACCTTCTCAGAGTAATTAGTTATCTTTTCTAATCCAATGTTGTTTAATTTTTCAAGAAAAATCTTTGAAAGTTTTTCCTGATTATTAACCTTTTTTATCTTTTTTTTAATACTGTTTGATTCTTTGTTGCTGCTTATTTAAAATATTACAAAAAAAAACTTCTGTTTACTTTTAAATAGTTTACTTAACAATATTTAATTATTATTAATTCCTGATGCCCTTGCTAGCATGTTTTCCTGTTTTGCAGATCTTTGTATTTTTATTATGCTCCTCCTACCCTTACCCAAAACTAGTATTAGAATTTTATATCAGAGTTTTCCTTCTTCGTTAGTAAGTTGTCGCAGCTAAAAAATCTCACTTCCTCTAAATATAAATATGTTTAAAAAATATGAATAAAAATGTGAAACATATGTATCTTTTCAACCTTATTTATTTAGAATTAACAAAAGTTAACAACTTAACTGTTAAAAGTTAACAACTTACGCTGCTAGTAAAAAAAACTTACACTGTCAGTAAAAACAACTTACGCTGTCAGTAAAAACAACTTACGCTGTCAGTAAAAACAACTTATGCTATCAGCTGTTGTTCTTCAAGTCAAAATGACAAATCTTTTAAAATTAATTTTAAAATGTTTTAAAAGTTTTAATTTCAAACTGTTATTACCATTATTATCGCTACTACTATTTTTATCTATTATTTTTTAAAATTTAAATGAAATCTAAATACTAATATAAATATAATTAGTTATATATAATTAAAAATTCACTATTTATAATTCATCTTCACCAAGAAGTTTCAGCATTTATAATCTTTTTCTTGACTAAGACGTTTAAATTGAATTTTAAAAAACAATAGCTTATTAAAATTCATAATATTAAAAACATGTTGACAAAAAAAAAAAAAAAAAATTTCTGTTGCCAAGCAAACAATACACTTTTTGTATAGAATTTTTAATTTGTTTTTTAAAATCTCAATAAAAAAATCCTACTTTTGATACCCAGGTTAACACAATTTTAAAAAATTTAAAGGCTTAAATCAATAAATTTTTGGAAATTGACATGGCAGAAGAAAAAAGGATTGCATTTTTGAAATCAAAGTGAGAAATACTATATGAAAAATCTATAATTTGCTCCACAACAAAAAAAAACTTTTTTTTATTTACTTGAATAGTAGTTTATTAATAAAATAACTAATTTAAATAAAAAAATGTGACCATTGATCATGATCATTGTGTACGCTTATTATTGTAATGGTTAAAAAAGTTTTTATAGTTGTTATTAGTATAGTTTTTATTTAATAAAAATGAAAGAGAAAGAAGTTTGGGGAAGGAGGAGGGGGAATAACAAACTATTTAAAAATTAACTTTATACTTTCTTTCTGTACGTCATCAGTTTTAATTAGAGTATTTTCAAGTTTAAAATCTGATTTTTTTTTAGAAGCTACATTATTGGTTTCAAATTTTTCAACTGAAGCACAGTTAGTTTTCTCATCCATAAACACAGTTTCTAAAACACTTGGCGCACTATTTGACATGCCTTCATTTAAAGTATCTAAATAAGAAATATAATAGACAACTAAGTAATTAATTTTAATTATTTTCAATTATTTATTAGACAATATTTAGTTTTTTTTCTTTATTAATAATGAAATCTTTTATTATAAGTTAAATTTCAAAAAATTATTTAATATATATATATATATATATATATATATATATATATATATATATATATATATATATATATATATAATATATATATATATATATATATATATAAATATATATATATATATATATATATATATATATATATATATATATATATATATATATATATATATATATATATATATATATATATATATATATATATATATATTAGCAATATATATATATATATATTGCTAAAAAAAGTATTTATATGAAGAAATTACCATTTATATAAAATGCAGAAGATTTGAGTTTATCCTGATCAATAGAAAGAGTTCTTAATTTTGATGATAAATCATAGTTATCTTTCGTAACACCATGAGCTTCTAACTGAGATTCTAATGAGGCTGGAGGGGGGATAAAAGCTCGAGAAGAAGATGAATTGCTTGACCATTGAAACTGAAAAAATTGCAAAAAATACACACTAAAAAAATTAACGCAAAAATCAAAAATAAAAAAAAAAGGTTTTCTGATTTAAAAAAGATAAACTAGCAACAATATAAATGCTCCAAAGATATTTAAATTTCCAGCATTTATTGTTTAATTATAAATATGGTACATTAAAACAAAATTTATACATTAGCAGTTTTAACTAAGTTCTCAGCAGTTTCCAACTGAGATGAAAAATTTGACTGGACTTCCAAGTAATGAAGGAAAGTATGGCAAGTTAAAACTTTTTCCTTGTTTTTTTTTTTCTTTTTAATATTATTTAAATTAACGACATATATATTTTATAATATATATGTCATTAATTTCCCTCCCTCCTAGACGGATCTCAAAGACAGTCCAAAGGGCGCCAATGTTCAGCATTTTTTTCATGCAATAAAAAAAAATCAAAGCCAAATTAAATGCTGAAAATATGACGGTTTATTAAAATTAAACATTTTCCATTGAAACTAACAACTTCTTAACACTTTGCATACTTTGGATGGTTATCAGACTTTTTAAAACATGCTTCTTTTAGAAATAACTTTGTTCCCATGCTTCTTTTAGAAACAAGTAGTGAACAACTTTTCTTGCTTGTTTACTAAGGAAACCCAATATAATGTCCTTACCTTTGCAGAAAGGACTTACATGTTAAAATATGATATGTATCTTCACTATAACTGTCATTAGTTAACAAAGTTATTCAGACACCTAAATCCTTCAGCTGATGGTTTTATATAAAACTTCACTTAATTTATTTACATTTTTCAGCAACCATTACTACATCCATTACTACAACCATTACCACTACATGAATTATTTTCAATTTTTTTTGAATTTTTTTTCTGAATCAGCTAATTTTTTTTTTTTTTTTTTGAAGAAATGGTTTGTTGCTGCTTTAATTGTACTTTTACTTTAATTTTCTTTGATCTACATTTTATGGCTTTCAATTTATACATTTTAATCTAAGTGACCCAAGTGCTCGTATTTCAGCATATTTATTTTTAAAAACCTCTGTGTACAAATATAAAAAGAATAAGCTGCTATAGAATTTAGAGACATTTTAACATAGAACATTTAACACATGACAGAGTTTGAAAAATACTATACAAGTAAAAATTATTTTATCTAAACAAAACTTGTAAAGCACCATTCCAGCTTTTTGTTTCTGATATATCAGAAACCAGTGCTATAATAAATGATGCTTTCACAGATCCTTTCTCACAATCTGATGACTAAACTTTTTCATATTTTCTCCTTTTGTTTTTCATTGTTTGAAAAACAACCTTAACCGAGGACAAAAAAACAAACAAACAATCAAAACATAAAAAAATACTCAAAAGAGACTATGCTGTCACAATATATTTGGCAATTAAAAGGAAAATAAAATAATTTTAAATTAATCTGATCTATCCTAAAAACTGCACCTGTTTTTAATGATATTTACCAAAAATGTTTTGTTTGCAAGAAAAGTTTGAAATTATTAGGATTGATAATTATTACAAAATTATTATGGATCAATTCCCAACTTCCTGTGAAATATTTTTTCTATAATTTGAACTTTTTTGTATCTAGACATTCTTACTAATAAAACTGCTGAGGGGGAAACAAACTGTAGAAAAAATTTAGATAAGTAGGGGAAAGGCGCCTCTTATGGCATACTTAACTTTGAAGCCTTATTATTCAGTATCCTGAAGAGCAAAAACAAAAACTGTGAAATGGATACATTCTTTGTTACATGTAGAACAATAATAACCCAGGAGTTTTCATCAGTTTTATTTTTTTATTAATTATTTTGATTAAAAAAAAAGTACAAATATGCCATCATAGGCAACTACTGCTCCTATGATGACATAGGGGATGATGGGGATGATTAGAATCAAAGGTAACTTGACAATTTCATTTGACCTTAGAGTCTTCCGTCAGAAATGCCAGAAATTATGCGTAATCATCCTAATTAACCCTTTTGTGCTACACAGCACCAGTGTAAAAATTCGCGCAAGCACATAAGAGATCTTGCTTTTTATGTGTTTTAATTAAAAAGTTTTTAGTGAAGTAAAAATTCTTTTTTAATTCACAAACAAATATGTTGTTTTTATAAAAAATTTCTCAATTCGTCAATATTGCAACACACCTAACCCATCAGTATGCCATCATAGGAAGAAGTTGCCATTTTCATTTAAACAAGCTATGTCTGCCTAGTTCAAAAGATAAATTTAAAATAAGTATTCCACTAAATGCACAAAACTTGGAAATAAAATGCATGAAAGTTTCATTTCTGAACAGTTAATAATAAAATTACAATCTTGAATATTTAAAAAGAATAAAAATACAACAGCACATCCAAAAATCGATTTTTGCTGATAATAAAAGCAATACTTGTGCTTAAGGAACGTATTTTTACTTAAACTAGTGTTAAGTCAGTATAGACATTATGGTCTAATCACTTCTTCACCATAACCAATATTTATGTAAATATGACTGGTATGCCATCATAGGCGCTATGCCATCATAGGCGCCTTTCCTTTTTTCTTTCACTAATTTAGATATAAATATTATGCAACAAAAAGTTTCCATATTTTTGTTACATTAATTTATACAGTATTTTCAGAAAAAGAAGAAAGAAAAAAAAGAATAATGAAAAAAAGGAATGCTGCCCTACACCAAACCCTCAGTCAATGTAGCAACTTCCTTAAGGAAGGCTATATTTGCTTTACTGTAATTTTTTTTTAACTTTTTGATTTGTATGTATATATAATAGTATATATAATAATATATATATATATATATATATATATATATATATATATATATATATATATATATATATATATATATATATATATATATATATATATATATATATATATATATATATATATAATGATTGTAGCAAGGCATGAAACTTTAAGTTCTATTCATATATTGTTTTTAATTAAAAAAAAAAAATTAAATTAGAAGAAAATCACTTATCACATTTTTTCATTTTACATCAATAAAAACATTTCATCAGAAAAATTATTTGATGACTCTTTATTACATGACTCTAAATACATACATATGTATATTTATAAACTTGAAAAGAATACTATTAATATTGTATTGTAAATAAAATGTATATTGTTTATTTTATCAAAACTAAATAATTAAGGTTATTATATTTCGTAAAGTTAAAAAATTGCTGTTAAAACAATACCAAATGAAATGTGATCAAATGTACTTTAGAATCAATAAATTCTAAAGCAAAAGAAAATTTAGAGTTGAATTTAAAATACATTTAAAATCAACAAATTCTAAAGAAAAAAATAATTTATAATTAATTCTAAAGGCAACTAATTATCATATGTTATGATTTTGGATCTGTTTAAAGTACTGATAATGACATAGTACTAAATTAAAAATAGATTAGAGCTTAAATGCAACTGATAGTAAAGTTTTGGGCACTTCCAGTGCATATATAAACCTGCATGAATCATCATACAAAGAACTAGGGTTAGGGTTTCAGAACCTAAAGTTTCTTATTTTTCTACAGTTTTTCAAGTTTTTTTTTTGCATTAAAATGAAAGAGAAATGAAAATATTAAAGAAAAACTGTTAAATATTTTACAAAATTTACTTATAAAATTGTTTATTCAATTATTATTGAATAAGTTAGTAATTATTATTTTTATGTTATTATTAACTTACTATTATCTAACTTTATTATTTAACTATATAATTAAACTATTAGTATTAGTATTATTTATGAACAATAATTATAATATTCCATGGAAATATTAAAAATGGAAAAATGTATATATTAACTAAACTTTCAAGATATTTTTAAGCAAAACCCACACAACAACAAATCTTTAAGTTACCTTTGTTTCATCATTTATGGTTGTTTGATAAGCTGTTGTCCTTATTTCATTTTCATTGAAAATGACATCAACAATAGCATTGACCAATGGTGAATGATTCATAATTAACATGTGCTGCAAAATAATTCAAATAAAATTTTTTATTTAACTGACAATTAGTTGAGTCAAAAGGCATTATATAAAAAAAGACATGAAAACATAAAATTAAAAGGCAACAATATAAATTCTAGATTCTTCTTAAATTTTCAATTTTTGTTTTACCTCAGAACCAACTTCCTAATAATGGTCAGAAGTTATTCTGACCATCATTAGTTGGATCTATATATTCCATTAGTCAGAAGTTGGTTCTAAGGTAAAACAGAAGACGTTAAGTTCGAAGACATTAACTCATAGTAAAAAGTACTCATAACAATTTTTCTTATGCCATTATGAAATAAAATTTCAACATAAAATTCAAAATAAAAAATGTGTATGTTATCAGAAAAAATTGTCTTATGAAACAAATAATCAAGACCTATGGTTTGCTAAAATACTAAATTTTACAAAATTCTTTTAAAAAATGGATGTTAATGACTAAATAAAAAATTTTAATTTGGAAGATGGTACAAAAGAAAGTTAGTTGAAGAGTTTCAATCTATAATGGATTTTTTACATTTGAAATGTCAAAAAAAAATTTGAAATGTCCCAACATAATAAATGTCCGAACAAAAAAAAATGTTCCAACAATTAGAGCTATACAATTATCAAGCTAAACAACAGCTACAATAACTTGCATAGCTAAGCAACAAATAGAGTAAAATAGCCAAGCAATTATGGAAGATCAGAAAAAGGTTAGAAAGCAGTTTATAAGCAGATGTATTGGCAAGGAACTGAAAAAAAGGAAATCTTGTAACATACACAAGAAATCTCTTAACATACACACAATAAAGGTATATATACTACGAGAAAGAAAATTCCACTACAGATGCTTCAATTATATTGGATTTTGTTGATAACATAATCACTGCTCTTACTACAACTCTATTTAGTGTAAGGAGCCATTTGAGTTATTGCGACCAAAAAAAATTTTTATATTACCTAGGACATTACCAAGGTTTATCTAGGTAATGTCCAGGTAACCTACAAATGTTACCAAGGTTTTGTTCTTGAATTTAATATTTCCCTTCCTTTTCTTGTCACACATTGAGTAATCAATGACTTTAATTTATTTAAGGCAACAAAAGTCATAAAGTAGGAATTGGATATTTAGGAACTTTATTTTAAGTCTTAAATCTTTTTTCTGCTTTTTTTTTCTTTCTAAAGCAGTAGACTTGCTAATCCAGCCCTTAAAATTCAAATAAAATTTAAAACTTTGAAAGGTCTATTGGAGCACAAAGTTTCTGTTGTTAATAAGATTAATAAAGAGAAATCACATTTTTTTTTTAGTAAATAAAAACAGAAAGCATTGTGAAGTTGTAAACAGTAAAATATAATTTTTTTTTGCCATTTTGGTTTGATATCAAATGGACCCTTACAACTATGAAGTGCTTTTTCTCTTCAAGAAAAGTGTCAAGAGAAATGTTCTTTTCCTCTTGATTTTTGGATTATGTTTAAGGCATATAAAATAAACTATCAAGGTCATCAACAAGTATATATATATATATATATATATATATATATATATATATATATATATATATATTATATATATATATATATATATATATATATATATATATATATATTACTCATATATATATATATATATTACTCATATATATGATTTAAATGTTGACATCTTGTCAAACATTTAAATCATATATATGAGTAAATATAAATATAAACTAATTTAAAACATCAGATAATACGAATTCTCTTAATACTAAATAATTTATTTAAAATTTTTGCCGGATTATAGGCACCGGCATAATCAGCATATAATATAATATAATTACAAAAATTGTGTCCGTTAAATAAAAGCAAAAATTTTTTAAAATTTTGATGTCACCTTTATAATGGCTTCTTTTACCTAAGTATGAAAAAAAAATTCATACCACCGTACGTTGGAGAACATTGATGTTTTTGTATTTTCAAGGCTTCACAGACTTTTCTTTCAAATTTTTTTATCCTCAACTTTAAGTGTTATTACTTTATTCCATTCAATGTCCTCATTACAATTTACTTTATGCAAAGCTAATGCAGACTGGTTTAACTTGCCTTCAGTCAAAAATTTTTGGTGTTGTTGAACCCTTGTTCGTATTTAAAGTTTTGTTTCACCAACATATACTTTGGACCATTTGCAATTAATTAAATAGGTTCCTGGGGTGCTGGGTGCGTGATATTTAGACTTATTTTTAGACGTTAATAGCGTTTTTAGGTTAGCATTTGATTTAAAAACAGTTCTGTAACCAGCTTTTCTGAATATTCTTCTAAGTCTGGGAGATATTATTGGTATCCATGGTAAAGAGATTGTAGGAAGGTTACTAGAGTTTGATGGAATTTCATTTTTGTTCGCAAAACGCTTTTTTCGAACCTGATCAGAAATATCTTTAAGCATTTTTTTCATCGTATCCATTTTCAGTAAACACTTGAATTAAAAAATTTATCTTATCTTTTAAATGGTTTTCACTGCATATTGAGTATGCTCTGAGTACGTATCCGTTGAATATTGCTTTTCAAATTTTGGGATCATAATTAGAATGAGGTTTGATTTGGATATTGGTTATTGCATCCTTCCTGTAAACCTTGAACTCATAGTTTCCTTGTGTATTATTACTAACAGTTATATCCAAAAAGTTAAGTATCTTATTTTTGTTTTATTTGTTTTTTCATACTTAGGTAAAAGAAGCCATTATAAAGGTGATGTCAAAATTTAAAAAACTTTTTGTTGTTATTTAACGGACACAATTTTTGTAATTATATTATATTATATGCTGATTATGCCGGTGCCTATAATGCGGCTAAAATTTTAAATAAATTATTTAGTATTGAGAGAATTTGTATTATCTGATGCTTTAAATTAGTTTATACAATATATATATATATATATATATATATATATATATATATATATATATATATATATATATATATATATACATATATATATATATATATATATATATATATATATATATATATATATATATATATATATATATATATATATATATACACACACACATACATACATATATATACACACACATATATATACAAACATATATACACACACATATATATACATGATGATGTATACTGAAATAAGGCAGCTGCAGGGGCTTCAGTCATACATTCTGACTAAATAGGAAGAAAATGCAAGAAGTGTCAAAACATCAACAACCATTTTTTTTTATTATTATTCTTCTTTCTTTTTACTTTTTCTGAAAAATTAAATGTATATAGTACTCCCAAATTAACGTAGATTTTAAAGTCGTAAAATCTACATCATCACTTCATAATTATAAGACTGTACTTTATATTCTGTTACACATATATTTTGTATATGTGTAACAAAGCAACACAATGCAATAAAATGTAGTGTTTTGAACCTACAGTAATGCTTTAAATATATAATTTGAAAATAAATTTCAAACAACTAATTGATAAATGAATTTTATTTTTTAATTTTACACCCAAAAAACTGATTAAAACCAATTTAAATTCATTTTTTCAATGCAACTAAGAAAACCACACAACAAATTAAATGTTTAATAAATAAAAATACCTGAGCCAACAAAAATAATGAAACAAGCTTGCTAATGTGAACTCTTTCATGATTAGATAGATCATCAGGTAAACTGTATATGTACAATGGAATAAGCAATCGATTAATCATGTGATCGGTTAGAATCATATTTAAAACATTTATTTTCAACGTAAGAATATCATGTAAATAATGTAAATGATCAAGATGGTCTGCAACTGCTGCTTTTAGCTTATCGAATTTGAAATGACTAAAAATTAGATGCAAACTTTGTGTTTATATTTCTTTATGATTATAAATTATTTTTTAATACAATATGATATAATATAGTATAGTATAATATGAATACATATATATATATATATATATATATATATATATATATATATATATATATATATATATATACACACACATATATATATATATATATATGACGACATTAAAAAGTTTGCATGACAATTACATTTGATATCTGCGCTATTTACAAATTTAATAACTTAAATAAAAACAAAGTAAACTTTATTTCTATTAAACTAACTTTTCCATCAAAAATGTAAAAAAAAAAAAAAAAGAAAATTGTTTTTAGGTAAGAGGTGTGAACCTTAAATTTTCTGAAAAAAACAAAATTTACAAAAATTTGAGCTAATATTTAAAAAAAAGAAAGAAAGCTAGAGACTTTTTGAAAAGAAATAAGTGAATTTTACGTGAAAATTTTATTATATATACTGACCTGGCCAAATCATTAGAAACATTATTAAAAAACTGCTAAAAAGTGTTTATTATTAGATTTCAATGATCGACTCTATTTGTATCTATGTTTTTTAAATTCTATGTTTTCTCTGTTTAGGTGAAGTTTTTTTGACTAAAAATAACTATTTTATTAAAATTGACTTGATTGCAAAGTCGAGTAAATTAAAAGATTTAGCTCCAAGAAAGGCTCCAGCACTGAAAACACTAATTAAAGTGTTATCCTGAGGCCCAGTTTGCTACCCCAAATGGCTGCATGGTTCCTTAATGGCAATTGAATTTACATGCAAGACAGAGCTCCTTGCTATGTGTCAAAAGGGTTCCTGAGTTCCTGAACGCCACTTTGCTTACTTGGCCCGAAAACTTATCTGTATAAAGCCTATTTGAAACTTCTGGCATTTTCTTAAAGTAAGGTCAATGCAATAAAACCCACCACTAATCATTCCTTGCTTGAATTGGTACTAAAAGTATAGAATCAAGATCAAGATATTTGTGACATGTGTCTGTGTCTCATACAGGGAATGCTTAACCATGTGACTAAAATACTCAGCAGCAAAGGTGGTTACACCAAGAAATAACAGTTAGGTCTATTAATATTTGGTAGTGCAGGACCGAATGCAGTTAAGTTACGTAATACTTTGAGTGCTTTGTAGGTAGATTTAATGTGTTTTGACTAAAAGCTTATTAAATTAAAAAAAAAATTGAATTACCAATAAAATCTCTATAAATAATGCAAGTAACCTCATAATCATAAAATCTCTATAAATAATGCAAGTAACCTCATAAGCAACTTGATATTGCTCTTTTTGGGTATTTTGGCTGAAAATTAATGTTATTAATTAAATTGAAAAAACACATTATAAATACTAAATTCAGTGTTATTTCATAAGTGTTTCTAATGATTTGGCTAGGTCTGTATACCATATATATGTACCAAATAAATAAATATATATATATATATATATATATATATAAATAATAATATAAATATATATATATATATACCCATATAGTGTAGCTTTAAGAGCATTTTAATGTAAAAAAAGTCTCTTACGACTACAATTTTAATTACCTCGTCTCTTAAGCTGTTTTTGATTGTCATTGAAATGTCAAAGCAATTAATTTATGCGGAAGTACATTAAATTTAATTGTTTTTTAAAAAATTTTTAAAAAACCGCAATTATAACGACTAGAAAGTTTTTTTTAATTAGTGGTGTTTTTGTTATTGATTTAATAAAAAACATTTTTAAAACATGCGTAAATGTTGCTACATCGACTATCTTATAGCCTGACTCGCAACGGAGTGCTGCTACATCGACTGACAAATAGCCTGACTCGCAACAGAGTGCTGCTACATCGACTGACAAATAGCCTGACTCGCAACAGAGTGCTGCTACATCGACTGACAAATAGCCTGACTCGCAAGGGAATGCTGCTACATCGACTGACAAATAGCCTGACTCGCAAGGGAGTGCTGCTACAACGACTGACAAATAGCCTGACTCGCAAGAGAGTGCTGCTACATCGACTGAGGGTTTGGTTTGGCCAGGCAGTCTATCAATTAAAAAAAAAATTTAATTTTTAAAACTTTTTCTGGTCTGGTTTATTAACGCGCTCTTTAAAACTACAGTTTATGGGAAACATTTTTTGATGCCACGCAAGAGACATGCAAGAGTATATATATATATATATATATATATATATATATATATATATATATATATATATATATATATATATATATATATATAACCCTCAGAAATAGAGTCGGCATTTGGCAATGCCGACCTTAAAGTGTTTAAGGTCGGCAAAAAATTGCTGACCTCATTTCTGTGTTTTATGGTAATCCATTTGTGTAAAAATTTTTTTGACGAACTCATTTTTCCTAAATCCTAGGGTTGTATATATATACACACACTACTCTCAATATATTTATAATAATAATAATAATAATTATAGTAATAAAAATAAATAATTTTATTTACTCTGTTTCTTGAATTACACAATCATCAAGCTCGATGGCATCTTTACCAATCAACCATATTAGATTTGAAAAATAGGGTGTGGCAGTTTTGTCACAAATGAATTCTAACATTTTTGTATGGCCAACTTGGTTAAAATATAAAAACATTTATGTAATAAGAATAAAGAAATAATAAAGAACAACAATAGAAAAACAATTAATACAAAAGAATTTTACTGCAGAGCAGTAAAATAAACAGATAATCATCTTGTGAGATTAAAGATTGATGGATGTAAAAAAGCTGATTAAGTTGATACCTTTATATGTATTTAGAGTAAGGGTTCGAACAGCAATTCTGACCATACTTTCAGAATGATGGAAAAACTTAATGGCTTCTGTATAAAGTGGAAAGTCACATTTTATCTAACAAAAATAACAAAAATTACTAGTAACCAATATCAATATTAAATATTAAAAGCTGCTAAAAAAGAAAAAAAAATTCACTCACCTCATTAAAAAAAAAATTAATTGTTTGTTTGTTCAATTTTAATGAGAGAGTTTTGAGAAAAGAAATATAGTACGCCAAAACCTCTTCATTGGAAAAATCAAACTTGTGAACAATTATTGAGTTTACGTGGTTGTTTGACAACAAAAAATCTAAATAAATAAATATATATATATATATATATATATATATATATATATATATATATATATATATATATATATATATCAGGCCTTGCGAAAAAGCGTCGGGCGATGTGAATTTTACGTCGTCCAAGGGCGATTTTGCGTGTAGCTAGGGCTATTTGCGTCGAGCAAAAAATTTTTTGTTTGAGTATATTTAAAGATATTTTTGAGCGGAATTTTAATGAAGTAATTGACGATTATTTTAACATTTAATAAAGTATTTTAAAAACCGCATGCAGTTGAAATAAAAGTTTGAATTTAAAAAAATTAAATATGCTCATTATTTTCAAGTAGAAAAAATTCAAAAATTAAAAAAAAAAGTTTAAATCTTTTAAGCTAACATTTTAATAAAATTATTCAGCAATAGCAACGTTGTCGATAAAATTGAACAAAAATACTTTCTTTTAATTTTAGATTTTAAACTTAAATAATTATTTTACAGGGGTTTGATAGGTTTTAAAATTATTCCATAGATTTAAAAATATTTATTAACTGTTAGACGTATTTAAAGTATTTAAGAGTGATTTCGAGGAAACATTTTAAAAATTGCTGAGGGCAAATAAAAAAAAAAAAAGATTAATATTAAAACGTATTCTACTTGATTCAATGAAAAAGTAGAGTTATTAAAATTTTTGTAAAAAGTAACTCAAAAAAATTACTTATACTAAATAATAACGATCGCTTTTATGTTAAAAGTTACCGAAACTCAACGAAGCGTGCTCAAGAACAGCTGCTGAAAAATAGAACGTCAATAGTTTTTCGAATAATTTTTAAGAATAATTTTTAAGAATAATTTTTTCGCTAAAATATTTCTTTTATACCTATAAGATTTTTATTCTAACATTTTATTTTATTTTACTAGAAATAAAATTCCTTGTTAACATTAAAAATCTATTCAAAACGTTCGTTTAAGTTTTTTATTAATACGAGTGATTGTGCTTATCAACCGCTTTATGAAAATAAATAAAAATATATAAATAAATATTATATAAAATCGCTTGTAAAAATATTAGCTATTGCACAGTTTTTAATCGTACAATATTAAAATTTCCAGTTTATTACTCGCTGACTTTTTAAAAAAAAAAAATAATTATTTGAAAAACTTTAAATTACATATTTAAGAAAAAAAAAAATCAAATATTAGCATATTTTATAATCTTTTTTAAATTTAAGTTATAATGTTTTTTATTCGTTTAGTACAGACAAAACGTGACAAACTCGAGAAAATAAACAAATGTTTTTACATTTTAAAAAACGAAACATTCCAAAACATTTTTAAATAATAACATTAAAATAAAATTAATTAATAATAACAATAACATAAACGATTTAAAGTAGTTTTGCGGTAATTAAATAAATTGGTGCAGTTAATGTCGATAAATATGAAAAGCAAATAAAAAGAATTTAATGACGTCAAAAATCACGTCGTGCTTATGCGTCGCGCAGCTCTTATTCATCGCAAGGCCTGATATATATATATATATATATATATATATATATATATATATATATATATATATATATATATATATATATATATGTATATATACATATATTGTATATATATACATATATTGTATATTTATGTATATATATATATATATGTATATATATTGTGTATATATATATATTTGTATATATATACATATGTATATATTGTATATATATATATATATATATATATATATATATATATATATATATATATATATATATATATATATATATATATATTGTGTATATATATATATATTTGTATATATATACATATGTATATATTGTATATATATATGTATATATATATACAATATATACATATGTATATATATACAATATATATTTGTATATATATACATATGTATATATTGTATATATATATATATATATATATATATATATATATATATATATATATATATATATATATATATATATATATATATATATATATATATATATATATACACAATATATACATATGTATATATATTATAAACAGGTTTCATTTAACCTGTTTATAATTTAAAACTATAAAGAAATATTAAAAAATAGCACATAACTAATAAATAACATAAGTAGTCAACTAATTTAGCCAGTATAAAAATTTTCTCTGATGTGTTTTCAAACCACAAATTTTTTAAATTAATTTCATTTAAGAATAATATATATATATATATATATATATATATATATATATATATATATATATATATATATATATATATATATATATATATATATATATATATATATATATATATATATATATATATATATATATAAATTTGTGTGTCTATTATGTGTACTATATGATAAATAACAGAGGGTTTAAATTTTTTTCAAACCACAAATTTTTTAAATTAATTTCATTTAAGAATAATATATATATATATATATATATATATATATATATATATATATATATATATATATATATATATATAAATTTGTGTGTCTATTATGTGTACTATATGATAAATAACAGAGGGTTTAAATTTTTTTTGAATAAAATATATTTTATAGAGTTATTTAAGACAATTAATCATTAGACAGTTCCCTATTATTTAAAAAAAGTTATTTAAAAGTATATCATGTTGGGTTTTAAAAAAAGCAAAACTATAGAACATTTTTTTTTTAAGTCATCATTTTATAAATAAAATTGGGAAAAAAAATTATAATCAAATTTTTTTGTTTAAATATGTCATTTTATTGGCAGTAAAATCTAAAATGGTAATTTTTTGATATTTCAAGAGCAATAACCCTTGCCTAATCACCTCCGTCTATTGCAGGGTTACAGCAGCTAGTAAGTTAACTGTAAAATGTGAAAAACAAAGCAAGTTAACAGTAAAACAAAAAAACATTCCAATTGCTTGTCAGAGTGCAAATTATTAGACTCAAAACGAGAAATTCAAAATTTGATGTTTAAAGACTAAGAAACATTCCCAACAAGCAGAAGACGTATTTTAGACATCTAAAAAAACATTTGAAAATGTTTTAAAAAATTTTCTATACGCCTTAAACACCTTTTGTGCCCAATCAGTTGTTAATAAACAAGAGAAAAATGATTAGACAGTAGTTGGAAAGGTCAGAGAGTTCTCTGTAGAATTTTGAAAAATTAAAACCATAGCTTTCGATTGTCACATTCCATCTGTGGTTCCATTTCCACGAAACCACAGATGCAATTTTCCAACAAGATTCAGTAGATCATTTATCAAATAGTTTAAAGAAAATCGAAAAGAAAACTTTCGTAAGACTATGACAGGAATAGTGTTAACAAGCTATAAAAAATTTAATTCAGTAATGAATTTAGCAACGGAAACCCGAGTGATTTGGGTGTTTAACAATGTGTTAATATGTTAACCTGTTTAATTGGAAAAGTTGGGAGAGTGTGACCTTTCCATTACAGGTTTTTACAAAAGTTCTGTCTTTTTCTTGGGAGAGATAATAAGATCAGACCCATATATTAGGAATGGACGTTTGTTCTTAAGAAAGTTGTCCTTTTGAAAAAGATGAAAAATATAACAGAAAAAGCATCACCAGAAGGTGAAAACCATTAGGCTTGATTTGAAAATGATGAAAAGAAATGAGTAAGAGAGCTTTAGTTTATGTTATGAACTTTAGTGCAGGGTCAGTGGTATTAGAGATAGGTCTTTCAGTAGGATGAACATTAAAGCCACCAATAATAACAAGGCTGAGGGATAAAAAAAAAGTTCAATATGATCAGAAATTACATCTAAAAGAATTGCAGACTTTAGAAGAAGAAGAATAATAAAGAACAAAAACGTCGAGTGAAGAACTAAACAGTAAAGAAATAAAAGAATAGTTATAGGATTCAAACCTGATTTTTTGATTTTAACTAATAGAAAATTACTTCGAAGACCACCAATCTTTGTAAAAGATATATTGAAACAAGTGATGGTAATGGTTTTTTATGTTAAATATTTTTTGGTACTTTGGGTATGATTTAAGTTAAAGAGAACTTGACTCATTCAAAGATAGAGCATGGTATCCAAAACAATGAGCCAAGCAATTGCCTTAGTTCTGCTAAATAACCCAAAATAGTAACTTAAGGCTACTTTTGTGGCCTTGACATTGCACACTAAAAAATATTATACATCTATTGATAAAATCAGCGTCTCTGAGAGCTACCTCAGAGTTTGGGAAATCTTACTACCAGCAGGCCTCAGAATGATTGAACTAAGTGTTAAAGCTGTACCCTCATTAGGATATAACAGAAAGAGGTGCACAGCAGTTATCAAGGAGGCAAAAGTAAAAACCCATGAAGAGAGTCAAGAATATCCAGCATTCATCATCTTAGGCAGGAACAATTTTACGCAAATTAGCTGCTAGAATTAAATAACTTTCATCTTTACTATTGTTCATATATTATTAAAGCGCTTTTAAATTAAGTAACAAATCACTGGTAATAGTTTTTTGTTTAAAGAATTAATAAATAATAAGTATATATATGTATATATATATATATATATATATATATATATATATATATATATATATATATATATATATATATATATATATATATATATATATATATATATATATTATATAAGTATGCATTTGTTATGATAAATAATTAAAAAAAAAGTTCTATAAATTTTTTTAAACATCAATATTAAAAAACAATTGTCTCTTTAATAGACTTTTTATAAGAATTTAAAGTTTATTATTCTAAAAAATAATAAAAAGCTTGATTTAAATTACCTTTCAGTTTTTTGAGTTTAATATCAGTTGAGCTATATTGTTATTTTTGAGTTTAATATCAGTTGAGCTTGTTATTGTTATTTTATATTGTTATTTTATATTGTTATTTTATATTGTTATTTTTTATTGTTATTTTTTATTGTTATTTTATATTGTTATTTTTTATTGTTATTTTTTATTGTTATTTTTTATTGTTATTTTTTATTGTTATTTTTTATTGTTATTTTTTATTGTTATTTTTTTATTGTTATTTTTTATTGTTATTTTTTATTGTTATTTTTTGTTAAGATTTTTATTCCTTTTTTTAAGCAAAAAAATTTTTATAAGTTTTATTTTTATAAGTTTTTTTTAATTAAATCTAGATAAGTTTTTAAAATGTTAAAAATGTTCAATAAACATAATTACTAATAAAATTAATTACTAATTAAACATAATTACTAATAAAATTAATTACTAATAAACATAATTACTAATAAAATTAATTACTAATTAAACATAATTACTAATAAAATTAATTACTAATTAAACATAATTACTAATAAAATTAATTACTAATAAACATAATTACTAATAAAATTAATTACTAATAAACATAATTACTAATAAAATTAATTACTAATAAACATAATTACTAATAAAATTAATTACTAATTAAACATAATTACTAATAAATTTAATTACTAATTAAACATAATTACTAATAAAATTAATTACTAATTAAACATAATTACTAATAAAATTAATTACTAATAAACATAATTACTAATAAAATTAATTACTAATAAACATAATTACTAATAAAATTAATTACTAATAAACATAATTACTAATAAAATTAATTACTAATAAACATAATTACTAATAAAATTAATTACTAATTAAACATAATTACTAATAAAATTAATTACTAATTAAACATAATTACTAATAAAATTAATTACTAATTAAAATTACTAAAGAGCAAACCCTATTTCCATTTTTAAATAAATTTACTGTGTAATTTATGGATAAACTTTAAGTGATTACTTTTGAGCAAATATCGAAAATCTCGAGATATAAATGAACAAAAATGGTAAGTAAAGCATAAAGACCATCCATCACCCATTTTACTGTTAGTATTGAAATAGAATTTGAAAAATTTTAAAATAGTACAAATTCATACATACATACCAGGGGCTATTCTAGACCATTTTCGACAGCGCGGACCGTAATTAGGCGCTGCCCAAATTAAAATTTGAGGACCTTCCTTTTTTTAACGTTTTATACAACGAATATTGTTTTTTTTCGCAAAAAAAATTCTAAATTTCTCTGTGATAGGAGGGGTACCGCCGCCCAAATTTTTCTCCTAGAATAGCCCCTGCATACATACATACATATATACATACATACATAGATACATACATACCTACATGCATACATACATATATACATACATACATACATACATACATACATACATACATACATACATACAATTATAAAAAACTTACATAAAGAAGTTTCATGTCGGATATTTTCAAATAGGATGTTAAGAGTTTGGAGGAGCTGAACCGTAATATAACTCCCACAATTTTGTGTCATAAATTTCAAGAAGAAGAGTAACATGTTCTTTTCGAGGAAAAAACTAAAAAATGAAGACTTAAAAGTACTAAAATCAACTTAAAAAGTTATTTAAAATATTACTATACAAAAATTATAATAATACATTTATATTAGTCAAATAACAATATGTATATAGATATATAAATAAATATATACTAATATAATAGATATTTGTAAACAGATATTTATTTAGATATTTAAACAGATATAAATTATATATTAAATAAATTCACATCTTTTAGATATGACCAAAATGTAATTTATTTTTTAATATTTGCCAAGCTTATTAATGTTGCCCAAAACATAGATATTGATTAAAAACGGTTTTAAGAAAACATGTGACAAGAAAAGAACATAAAGATTTAAAAAATTTATTAGCTCAAACTTTTGAAATCTGTAATCTGAATTTAAATCTGTTTTTAATCTGTAGTGGCTTTTTCAGCCTTGGGGAGTTGAATTAACATAAAAAAAGATGGAGTTCAATGTTTTCAATTTAATAAACACTTCACTTGATTATTGTTATGTAGTGCAGTTTTAAACACTTCACCTGATTATTGTTATTTTAAGCAAAGGAAAAATTTTAATTTATGCAAAAATTTTAAATTTTAAATTTTAATTTAAAGAAAAATGATCATGATAAGTAGAGATTTAAAAGTAGAGAGACAAAAGACTGGGGACCAAGGATTGTCAGCTTTAAGGTAGAAGTAAAACGTGTGATGATAAGGTGAGCCTTATAAAGAAGTACATAAGATAGTCCCAACCACCCATAGAACAAAGAGAAACTGAGTACCAGGTAGGGTCAGAGTCAAAACACAAGTCAAGGAGTGAAGGTAGGTAATTAGAGTTGTCTGTAAAACAAGTCAGAAAGTTGACTAAGTGAGTCACAAAAATTATCTGAGTAAGACATGGAGAAAGATAAAAGTTTTGAGCTGTAATAACAAGGTCAGTGATATCAGAGCCAAGCCATTCATAAATAAAGCCATTATTGTGTGAAAGGGTTCTGTCAATTTGATTAAAAAAAAAAAAAAAATTAAAAAAAACATTTTTGAGAAAAAGGAGAACAATAAACAACAAAGAGAAAGGTGATTGAGTAAAGAGGTAGAAGTAATGATTTCATGACAAATACGCAAATTGATACATAAATATATGCCTAGACTAAACATGTGACTATTGGAGTCTTTGCCAATCAAACAATAATAGCATCAAAATTGAAATCTAAAGATAAAACAAACAAATTTAAAATCTCACAAAAAACAAACAAACCAACTCTAGTCATGCTTTAGGTTATTAGAGAGCAAGATGATGTTAGATAATGTTTATTGATGATTATTTGATTTGATGATTATTATGATGTAAAACATATCAAATTTAATCATAGACTAACAGGAAAACCATCCGAGCAGAACATGGCACTTTTATTACTATGATATTTTACAGCTCTTAATGGAATCAGCCTTATCATAGAGCTACCATAGAGTTTTGGAAAAAGTGATAACAGATGTCATCAGAATAATTAAACTGATCTTTAGAGTTGTACCCTCATTAGGAGATAACTAGAATTATAGGAGGCACAAGCAAAGGAGAAAAGGAGGCTGAAAACTAGAAAAGGAAGCAAAAATCTATGAGATTATCTCAAAAATAATAATCTTATTAATATAGAACAAAATAAAAAAATACTCAAAAACAGTTGAATCATTTTGGTCTCCCCATATAAGAATCTCTGCCATTTGTCGCAATGTTTCAACAAGAAGACTTTTATTTCCATCATTTACAGTACTATTTCGTTGAAGTACATAATGAAGATATCTAAAAAGTAATAAGAAATTATTGTCTAACAATATTTGATTATTTGAGATTTTCTACACAACCTGATTATTATTGAAATAGAAAAATGTAACATATCATATGTATTATTTTTATATGTAGTTATCTTTTTTTTTTTTTTTTTAAATACCCTCAAAAAATTTTACTTTTTGATAAAACTGGAAAAATTCCAGCAATAATAATGTACATCTACTTGGGCCTATGGCCTCTCAGGCCTTGTTACAAGATTTCGCTGCGTAACAGAAAAGCGAAACGTGAATAAATGTAACTTTACTCAATAAAGATATTTACATTGTTAAAACTTTAATTACGTCAGTTGCGTTTTTATTTGATTGTAATTAAATTTAAAATGACATTAAAAAATATTGTTAGTCTTTGAAACGAAATAGCTTTAAATCAAACAATATTGTTATAAAAAAAAAAACTAAAGTTTTAATGTTGATTAAAAAAAAGTCTTCTTGTATTAAAATCTTATACTTATTTAAACTTAATTTTTTTGCTTTTAAACATTCGTTTTATGGTTGTTTTTTTTTTAATTTTTTTTTTTTTTAATTTAAATTTAACATTTGTTTATGGTTGATTTTCTTAAAGGGATTTAAATGTACTTACAACTAAACGCATAGATTGAGTTCTCCCCTTTTTAAAAAAACGTTTGCACTAACTGGTTTTGATAAAAAAAATATATTAAAGAAACGAAATTTACTGCTTTTCGGCTTTGTTTTTTTTTTTATTTCCATTAAAATATTTTATTTTTATGTACGGTGAAACCTAATGTATTTATACTATATTTTTACTTAATCAAAAAAAAAAAAATAATAATAATGTTTTCGGTTTTAAGATAAACAAATATCATTATAACTTTGAAATTTATGTATCTTATATAGCTCTAGTACTAGTTTTGTTTTTAAAATAAAATAAATACAAGTTGGGCTTTTAAAGAGATTATTTACTGATCGCGTTATTTTTAATAGGTTTGAATTTTGGTTTGTTTTATAAAAAATATTCTTTGGCAAACGGCTAAGGGAAAACCCAAACATAACATTTATAACTCGAGTTTAAAAGAACTTTTTTGTATTGACGTTATTTATTAACTTGTAGTTATAAAATGAATAATGCACTTCTGTTAATAATGAATGAAACTGTAAAACAATGGAAAAATAAAAACTGGAAAATAATGCGCTTTTGTTCAGCGCATTATTCAGACCAGTATTTGGAACTGGAACTTACCTGAAACTTAACTGAAATTAAAATAAAGTTATATGTAATACGAACATTTTAAAGTAACTTGAATTAAATTTATTAAATCTTTTTTTACTTTGGAAATTTTATCATAAAAAAAAATTGTAAAACGGAACATTTTAAAATTAAAAAATTTTTAAATGCTCTGTTTTAAAATTAAATAAAAGAACTTTAATTAAATTTAATAAATTTATTTACTAAATACTATGATTAATAAAAAAATATTTAAATTTAATAAAATATATTTGAAAATATTTTTTTTTTTTAATTTGAATGTTTTTAAACTTATGAAATATAAAACTTAATATTAAATATGATAAAAAGTTTAAACTTAAACACTTATTTTTTTTAAACTAATTTTTAACAACAACAACAATAAAAATAATTTATACGACTTTATTTTCTTCTGAATAAACGTCACATAAACGATATCAAATGATAATTTAAATATTCTAAAAGATTAAAGTTTTTGCGTAATGTAAAACTGCTGAACGCGTAGACAAATCGCCTTTTCACAGGTAAAATGCGAGCTGCGTAACGATTCTTAACAAGGCCTGGCCTAGAACAAACAATGATTGCGTTTTATATATTATAATTTAAACGTTTTGCTTCGACTGCTAAAATGCAATTAAAAATATGTGAATAGTGATTATTTTGTTTTTAACGATAAGCGAACTATTCTGTTCAAAACACAAAAAACTAAATAAAAAACTTTTATTATTGCACATATAGTTTTTAGCAAATGCTTTTACAAAATTAAATTAACATTGTTTCTCATAATTAATTTGTATTCATTACACATTTAAATATTACTAATAAGCTTATATAAATAAAACTTTATTTAATTTTGTTTAATGTTTGCTGTAAACGTTTTATAAATAGAAGTCTCATTCACAAATCGCCATTTATTGTTTATAGAAATTTCAACAAAATGAAGTAAGTTAACATGAAATTTTTTTTAGAGTTTTGTAATTGAAGTATAACTTTAACATTTTACTACAGTTGAAAAAATGCAATTAAAGTTATTTGAATCGAGATTAATTTATTTAATTTAATCTTTAACAAAAACTTTTTATAAAAAAAATTTAATATAAAATCAAGTAAATCATTATTAGTTTTCTCCTTCCCAAATTTTAAGGACAAGCGTGATTTTTTACTCTCGTAATTAGCGAGTGTTTTTAATCGCGCCCGCAATTTTTAAATATTCTATTATCGAGCGTGTTTCATGTGACGAGAGCGATCGCTCCCGTTTCATGCCGAGGCCTTATATACGTATTGCTTTCTAATTAGCAAGTAACGCCAAAAAATGTATTCAAAATAACAAACCATGGTTTGCTGACTTGAATAGATTTTTATGACCAATACCATCAGGCCATTTTTTTTTTCTGAAAAAACTTTTTTTGTGTGGATATTTCAAGATATAGAGGACTTATTTTGGAAATTGATAGCTGTGCCCCCACTTCAAAACCTATGTCGTCAGCCCTGATATTTAAGTAACACAACATAAGTGTGTGTGTATATATATATATATATATATATATATATATATATATATATATATATATATATATATATATATATATATATCAGATAGAAAATAACACATACAACAATATATACAAGTATAAAATAACGCATACAAAAAATATACAAAAAATTTTGTCTCCCCTTTTAGATAAAATTAAATAACTATAAATAAAAAATATATTAAATAAAATAATAAAAATGAAAATTTAATATTTACCTTAATTGCTCCAACGAGTGTGTTTTTCTTGGTTTCCATAATGTTTCTGCAATCCAATTTTTTGGTCTTTGTAACATCATGCATTATTTGACCAAATGTAAAATGTCATATATTTATAAAGATTTAAAAGCTAAAATTAACACAAAATAATAAATAATCGTTAGGTCAATATACCAGCATACAAACAGTAAAAATAATATCAATCAAAAAATTTTGTGAAACAATTATTACTAAATCAAAAAATAAAGTAATAAAAAATATTTTGATCATCTCATTTTAAAATAATTCTATTAAATCTAATTCTCATAAAAATCACATAATTAATGGAACCCAAAATAACTCTAACATTTGCAAATTCAAACCATTTTATCTTCACCACTTTTACAAACTTGTTCTCACTATCAAAAAAGTTAAGTTTACTTTAGTTGTGAAATTTTTTTTTTTTTTTACCTAATTTTAGTGAATAAAACTTTAGTAAATTGAATGAATTGAAACCCACTGATGAGAACAAGCTTTATACAAAAGTTCTGATGGAAATCAAACATTAATATAATGGTGAGGACAAAATGAGTCCAAAATTTAATTGAATTTTGTAATAGTATTGTAACACCATTACCAACTATTTTTAATTCTATTTAAGTGGTTTCTATGCTATGATTGTGTGCAAATGTTATCATTAGCTTGATGGTAGTTTAGTGCCAAATAATTTCAGAAGTGCTAACCTTTTTCTACTATTCAAAAGTGGTAGCGAACTAAATGTAGATATTTTATTAATTAATATCTTTTAATCTTATCAATTAAATTTGTAAGCAATTTGAATCACTAATACAAGATGCTTAGCTAATTTTAGTAATTTTTTCATCAAACATCCAGAGAGCGTAGGAAACATCCAGAGAGCGTAGGAAAAAGAGATATGCAAATCATACCAATGATTTAAAAATAAAAAACTTTCAAATGCAACCATGCAACCATTTCAACATGCAATCATGCTCATAAAATATATATGGGAAAAAATTGAAGAAACACCTAAATTAGTTAGGTAAATTCTAAAAAAAGCCCCTGTTTACAACAATACAACAAAAAAAATTTTACTTTGTATAATAATGCCAAAGAGCTACTAAATAATAAAAAGAGTTGATTTCTAAAAGTCGCCACAAAAAAAAAAAATTTCTATTAAGCAACCACAAACCTGAAGATTAGATACACACGCTTGTAACAATAGTTTTTTATGTATAATTATACATAAATAGTTCCATTTGTATATAACTATTTTAATGAAAAAATTATATTTGTATTTCATCTGTTGATTGTAATATCTAGGGATTATTATTGATTACCAATTTAATTTTACTGAACATATCAAACATATCTTAAATAAAATTGCAAAGAAAACTGGATATCTTGGTAGAATAAGCAAATATTCAACTCAATGGACCAAAAAGATAATCTTTCAAACTATAATTGCTCCCCACTATGAATAATGTGCTTCTATTTTTCTTGATGTCAACGCTAATAACTAAAATATCCTAGAAAAACTTCAAAACAATGAGAATTCTATTAAAATGTCACTGGTCAACTCATAAAACAGAAATGTTGAAATTGATGTAAAAAATAAAATAATTTTTAAATCACTCTGTTTCATTCACTATGTTATATCAATTAAAAATGATATTTAAACTGTTCTGTTCAAAAAATAGCGAGTTACATAGTTACATAAACATTATACTAGACAAGCTAGTTATTTTTATAAAAGCAGCCAATACAATAAAGCAGGGCAGAAGTTGTTTGTGTTTGGTTTGAAACTAATCCAGGAAATAGCTTGTGAATTTGTTCAGCTGGACTACGAAAAATTCAAAAAAAAAACTGCTTCAAACACTAAAGAACAATCAACTTGTATAGTGAACATTTATTTTGGTATAGGGAACATTTATTTTGTAAAAGTTACTAAACTAGCATTAAGTTGCTAAATAAATAAATAATAACATGAAACTTAAAGTTGTGAAATTCACATAGTTTTATTTTCTACATATATATTAAATTATAGCTCTGACCAGATTTTTATTTAATATTCAAAATAAATTTCTTAGATAAATATGGTTCTGTTGATTATTAATTAGTTTATAAAAAAAATATTTTAATTACCAGTGGTTTATGCCCCCAACTGTTAAAAGAGGTTATTTTTACTTATTGCTTTCCTAATTTTTCTAAATTTAAAAGAAATAGGCAGGAAGTCCTATAGCTAGACAATGACAAATCATCTTGAAAACCACAAAATAGACCTCATATTTGATGGATATGTCTCACGTGTGAGCTTGACTCTTATTGAATCAGCAAAAAAAAATGTCTTTCTCTTATTCCTATCCTTTAGTCTAACCCATCTTTTCCAACTTCTGGATAAACCAGTTTTCAGACCCGTGAAGACCAAAAGTCTGTTATTAAAATATATGCAAGAACACACTAAGTTCCAGTATCAAAAAAGGATTTTCCTAGTCTGCTGCACACCCTTTTTCAAAGTTCTTTCACAGGAGAACAAGTGAAAAGTGGTTTCAGAGGAACTGGCATTTTTCCTTTTATTAATGGTGGCAAATTCCCTCTTGAGGATGCAATTGACACAAGCTTGATTAAGCAGTGTCCTCAAGTAATGACGTCAACAGCTGTAGAAACATCCACGCTGTCCACTCCAACTTTTTCATGCTCTACACAAGTACTTTTCAGCACTAGTGCTCACAATGCTTCTGCCTCAACATTACTACTACATGTATCACTGTCAACATCATTATCAACAGCAGCATGATCAACAGAATCATCACCTTTATTTCAGCACCTGAAGAAAGACCACAAACTTCATTCTTAGGAGTCTTATATTGTAGATTTTTTCCTCGAAAAATTGCAGCCTAGATTTGCGCAAACTTCTGGTCATGTAAGGTTGGCTAGAATCATCAGATTTTGCTATAGAAAAAGCCTTACAGGCAACAGATGTTTGAAGCCTTCAAAAAAGAAGACCATGAGAAATATAAAAAATCTTTCAGCTGGAGATGATAGGGGCAGCGATAAGGATGATGAAACAATGTGCCTAAAGTAAGGAATTCATAGGATCAAATTTTCATGAGAAAAATGGATGTGCTATGATTTATGTGATATTTTGTACCATGTAAATGCACAGAAATTAAAGGTAGAGCTAATCTTAAAGCCATAAACTGGATCTGTGAACAGTCTTTACAAGCAATGTAAAAATATGTTTAACATACTGGAACTTATTGCCCTTATTTTTTAAATTTTGAGTCAGCGTTAATTATAACTTTAAGCTTTTTTTTCACTAAATGACTTTAAATTTTGCTAAATAAAGCTTTTGAACTTATAGAAATATGTGTTGTCTATCACTTAAAAATATTGCCAGTTCAAATTTAATACTTATATAGTTATTTCAAAAAGGGAGAAAAAAAGTTCTTGAACACATGCAACTTAATGCTCCCTTTTACTCTATTGCTTAATATTTTTATATAAAATTATAATACTATTATTTTATTATTATATTTAAACAATTATTACTTATTTTTAACGTTTGTTTATTTTGTATTGTTTTAAAATTATGTAAAAATCAAATTATAATTTATAATAATAATTGAATTACAAATTAATGGAATTACTTAAAACTTTTGCATGAAATGATATATATATATATATATATATATATATATATATATATATATATATATATATATATATATATATATATATATATATATATATATATATATATATATATATATATATTTTAAATATTCGTAAAAACACTTATTTAATTTCAACCACTTGTTTCTCCATAAGAATGTTGATCAGGAAGATGATAAACAATGATTTTTATCAGAAATTGTCACTAATTAGTATTGATAGACATATAATAACAGATACTCCAACAATTATTTTATTAAATACACTTCAATTCAATTTTTAAATACACTTCAATTAAAGAAAAAAAAAAGAAACAATTTAAACTTACACTATAAGTTATATATATAAAATTATTATTTTTTGCTTTCTATCGTTAAAGTTACTTGATTTGGATTAGAGATATTTACATAGTTGCGTGTAAATTAAACACAAAATAGAAGCGTTAAAATAAACGTTGTTTTGTCGATAAAACAATAATATCGGTAAAAGGGTCGGTAGTGAATTACGTCATGTTCTTTGAGTGGAGTGGTTATTGGATTTGTGACGACTCGTACAAAACTACAAATGTTGTGATGAGGGGGAAAGTGGGTGAAAAATGATCAAAAATTGTGTGAAGTAATTTGTGGACAACTATGATAATTATAATCGAGTGTATAAAAGAGTTAAAATATCGATGGCTTCACGCTAAATCGGTCTCTCGACAATCTCTGGAAAAAACATTTTTGGTCTATCTGCAATTAGCGCCAGCAATATTTTTGAACTATCTGCAATCATCGGGTGTATAAACTTTAGATCATTAACATTAAATTTATCTGTATATTTTCTTACTAAAAACCATTGTTTTCACATGATTGATAGAAAATAAATTACGTCGCTGTTAAACTTACATAATATTTATGTTGTTATATATTTTATATAGTTAGTAATAAAAGCAGTAAAGTATATTGCTAGTAATAAAAGCAGCAACCTTTTTACTATTTTGTTGTACAACATAATCAACTTTTCTGTTGTGTTGCTGTTAAACTAAATAACAGCAAAATTACAGAATTCATTTTATTATTTTTTAGTATTTAATTTATTATGTTTTGACTATTTTTCTAATATTTTTTGGAGTTACTTTCAATTTTAATTTCTTGAAAATATAAATAAAAGTATATATATATATATATATATATATACATATATATATATATATATATATATATATATATATATATATATATATATATATATATATATATATATATATATATATATATATATGTATTTTTTTTTTTTTTTTTTTTTGAGGCCTTCTTGAAAGTCATTATTTTAGATGTTTTGACGATGAAAAACTTTTCTCTTACTGTCTGAAAAAAGGTTATATAAGTGCAAAACAAAAATTTCGGGTAGGTATAGTTTTGAGTTGTTATTTTTGTGTAGGTTTATAAAAAGATTGCTTTATAAAATAATTTAGAGTAATAACAATAAAGTTTATTCTTAAAATTGTTAAAGACCAAATAATGTAAAATAAATAATATTTTTTGTCTGACAAGAAATAAATGAATAAGATTAACAAATCAATTTGTCCATTTTTTGTTATTATTGAATAATATAAATAATATAACATATTTTTACAAAATAGTAATCTTATTTCTACATATTATGTTTTCAGCAATCGATACGAAGGGTGTTCATAGTTAGGTAGATGTTATATAATAAGTATTCATACTGTAAAATAATAGACATTTATTTTACAATAGAATACTGGCATATATTTATAATAAAAAAAATACAGTGTTATTATTACTGTAAAAACAATTGTCCAGGGTTAGATAATTTTTAAAATTGCGTCAAAAGGATGAAACTTAGATGTCACGATTGATAGCCTTTCTTCACCCATGGTCGAACTTAATTATGTCTTGATAAGTTTCATGCGTGAAAAACTCCTTCTGTGCTTGTCAGAGTTACGTTATATATGCATTTGGAAATGGATTTTGAATCTGGTAAATAAATCTCAAAATCCTTGCAGCTGCTTTCACCTCAGCCAGTAGAAGTTCTCGAAAAACCTTAAATTCAGAAAAAGGGTCATTTCCTCAAACATTCTTTTCTTCTTCCAAACTTAGAAATGATTCTAGGTCTTTACACTTTGGAAACAGTTTATCTTCTTTTACTACTTTTAGTTTTTTTACATGATGCAAAAATCCAAACATAGTATCGTAATTAGTTATTTGTTCAAACTTTCTGCAAAAACAAAAAAATATTCCACTTTAAACATTTGCTTGTCGGATCCTGCCATAGAATCTCCCTCGTATTTAAACATTCTTCTTTTCTATCTCTGCCTGGCTTTTGAAATTTGGCTCTACACCAAGAGTTTCACTAAGTTCTGAACTAGCCTTAGAAGTACCTGCGATGCAGCTTCAAGGGCATTTTTTGAGTCTGTAGGCTTTTTTTTCATAACTTATTTCATTCTTAACTGATGGTATTTCACTATTGGGTTTATTTTTCCTCAGGGAACTTAACTAGTTCAACTAATGCAGTATGAACATCCTTAATTTGATATCAATGCGCTTTTACGCTTTCCAGTTTACTTTCCCAACGAATCTCACAGGACATTTTTTTAGCCAGATTCAGTACGTGTTGAATAAAAATTTGCCATTCCATTTTTGACGAAGAAAAAAGTACATAAATTCTTTGCACAACACCGAAAATTGTCATAGATTTAGATAATCATTTTGCTGCGTGGATACTTTTTATATTGGAACCGTTGTTATACCATTTTCCCCTTCAGTCCCTGATTTGCAATCCAATTTCATCTAACTCTTGTAAATGAAAATCAGTTAGATTTTTTACCGTTGTTGGTTTAACGTCTAAGATTCCAAAGAATTGTTCTTTGATGCTTACATCTTCATTTTCCCTCTTAAGAAAAGTTGCATTCATATAAATTTTTACAAACTGCATGACCAAACAAAATCTGTTCCTTCTGACTAAGATCCGGTATGCAGCCTATTCATTTTTTACCTTTTTTATTTAACTTTTTTTTTGTAATTTTATTTTACTTACGTAAAAAATAAACTTATTTTGATATGTTTATGGTTAGGCATAGTTGCTATATGCTGTATGCTTATTATATATTTTTTTTAATTTTTATTAACACAATGCTGAAAATCCTGACTAACAAAGAAATGAAGTAGAAACGGAATTAATATGGACATATTAAAAACAACGAATTGGTAAGCTTGTCCCAATCTACACCAAAAATCACAAACATTGGTTGGATGAAATTTATCTCGCAATTCGGATTTCATGTCGAATAAAGATTTTTATCATTTAGATATCATTAATATCAATCATGAATGCCGATTCAAGTCTCCTGATTTAAGCTTTTAGGGCAAAAGTACCAAAAGAGTTCTATAGAGATAAGAGTAAGCTAATCCTTGTAAAAAGTTTTCATTCTCAAATACTTAATACAATACACTTTCTCTATCTCTCAAAAACATTGATACTTTTACGGGTAACTTGAATAAGCGTTTCAAAACTACTCGTCTCGATAGCCAGCAAACTTCTGTATGATACAGCAGTACTTTGCTGTCAGATCCCTTTTTTGACAAAGTTTTTTAAACTGCCGATGATTCAAAACTCTAGCTATTATGAAGTTAATTATTTATTAAACAGTTATTACACGTTTACATAACGTTTTTTCAAGAAAGTAGGTATCAAAAACTTTGATGCATTAGCATCAAAGTTTTTGATGCTAATGCATCACAAACTTTGCCTGCGATATACATAAGAGACAATCAGTTATCGTGACACTAGAAACCTCTTTCTTAACCAATGCTGAAAAACAAGAAGGTTTTCCAAGTAATGCAGGTGCCCCATGAGTATACAAACTGCCAAGCATATTCTTTTAACCAAGGTCGTGTTTTGCAGGAAAATGTTTTATCATACTAAAAATATCCGTCGCTTTTTTAGTTCCCAAAAATGAGTTTCTAAACTGAAACTCTTTTTTCTTAATTTGTGTTTCTAGATTCTTTGTGTACATAATGTACAAACTCGAAGAGCTAAATACGCTGTAATACATGTGTGCTTTCGTCCAGTTGCATAATGAATAAAAATGGCAAAGAGTTTAATTCATTAATGACCTGCTGGAAAACGTTGGGAGACATTTCACCAATTTGGGGATGGTTGACACCATTTGACACAGGCACCGCTTCAACTTTCCTTTATTTATCTTTATTACACACGAGTTCGACTAAGTCTGTTAAACAAGACTTTAGACTTTATATGTAACTTTGTTGCATATCACATAGCGTAATTATACTTTTTATTCATAGTGTAATTAATTTGAGTTAAATTAAGTTGAGTTTAATTACTTTTTAAACCGCAACTTTTTTTCAAAAAAATGGCGCTTTAGTTAATTAATTTAGTTAATCTTCAAACTGCTATATTATTATTCTAAATGAGTATAAAGTTTTTATACTCATTTAGAATAATTGCTAATGATAAAAGAAGGTGGAGAATCTGCAGTTGGAACTTCGTCAAACTGAATATTATTAAAGTAATCCTGCAGACAAAACCTTGGCGCATTAACGGGTGGCAAGTTGAAAATGGGACAACGTTTAGTAAACAAAAAATATGTCGTATCAAACTATTTATGAAAATGACAAGAAGTATCTACCAAGCTGAAAACAAACCTGGCCACCAAAGAGACAAGGGTAGTTGCAAAAAACCAGTAATCATGACCAAAACCAACGTAAAGTGACTAAAAGCTATGTTTGACCATAGGACACAGTTTCGCAACGTTAAGCAGCTTGACAATGTCTATACAGTCATCAATACATCTTTTTGAGGCTCAAAAGCAAGTCTTCTAGATCCTGATTTTCTTCTTCATACAAGAAAGAAAATAAGGATCCTGAAGCAAACGGAAGGCCAGAATGCGAAGATTACCTACTGTGTAATTTATCATAGTCGGTTATCTTTGCTTTCTGATAAATTACACAGCCGATAATTTTGATAACACAATTACCGACTGTGTAATTTATCTTTTCGTTGTTACCAACCAAAAAAGAGTTTAAAGAGCGTATAGCATCAAACTGCAAATTACATGTTGTTTACCTTAATCGTCTGAAAATCCAATTTCGTCAAAGTTTCATAAATTCCACGAATTGTTATTGTTGATATTTGCTTCAAGAAATTGTTTTTGAAGTGTATTCAAACAACTTGTTATTTTATACTCGGTGCAAAAAGGACAAAAGGACAAAAGGTCTGAGAGACAAAATATTGCCTGCTACTGTGACGCTTAATTTATGATTCTATCGTTTCGTGAAACCTTGATACAATTCTCGTCCTGGAATACCGATTGGTGGAAACAGATTGATTGGTGGAAACAGATTGATTTGATTGGTGAAAACTTTGATTAGTAGATATTAAATAACTATTGCAATTACATCTGCAAAATTTCTGCCAAATCCCCAATCAAACTAATATGTACTGAAACAAGAACAAGTTCAAACGCTGTACTTAGTACGGTAGTTGTACCTCTACTATGTGATTGGACTTTGTTGTACACACACTTGTGAAGAGTTGCTTTTGGTATGTTTTGTGCCTCTGAAACTTTACTGAGTGATATTTTGTCTTTTTTATTAGTTTTACTGCAAATTGCAATTGCTCTTCAGTGTAAATTGTTTATGCTTTACAAATGTACGTACAACTCATTTTTGTTTTAAAATTTTTTAGATTAATAGCAAAGGCTATCATATTTATTTATCGCGGAAATAGTATTTGACTTGAAAGTTCACACCTCCTTTCTTACCAATGTCGTATATTGGGCTAGAGCCGGCGTCGAACCAGGTATCTCTTGGCTCTGAGTCAGAATTCTAACCACTGCGCTAATATTGCATTTAAAATATTATCATAATTATAATATTATTAGTAATAATAATGAATATAACTAATACCAATATTTGTAAGTACTAATGCGGTAGTGGTGTAGTGGTAGAGCGTTCACTTTATAAGCGAGAGGTTCCAAATTTAATCCCTACCACGTTCCTGGTAGTACTGCTCTTAACTTGTTTCTCTGTGCAGCGACCTTTTTCTTTGAGATTTGCGTTTCGCAATTATAAGGTTAATAGAGGTTTATAACCAAATTAAATGTTGTTAAGCCTCCTCGACTGTATTGGGCTTCTCAATCTTGGAGAGGGAAATTATCAGGAAAAAAATAATAACCAATAAAAAAATAAGAAATAACTGTTAACGATAAGTAAATTGAAAAAATTATAATAATAAAAATTTGTTTTTATGTATGAGTTTTATATACTTTATTTGTATTTTTTTTTTTAATTTATCGCTCTTATCAATAAATGATATAAATAAATGCATTATAATAACATATAGATATATTTAAATCTATTTGTTAATAATAGTTTATAATAATGTATAAATTTTAAAATATATTTCAATCATTTTGATGTCTTCTAGGTGTTTGCAAAGGAACAAGGAGTTTGCAAAGGAACGAGGAGTTTGCAAAGGAACGAGGAGTTTGCAAAGGAACGAGGAGTTTGCAAAGGAACAAGGAGCTTGCAAAGGAACAAGGAGTTTGCAAAGGAACAAGGAGTTTGCAAAGGAACGAGGAGTTTGCAAAGGAACGAGGAGTTTGCAAAGAAAGGAGTTTTCATAAAGATTGCTTAACTTATTAATTTGCATTAAAAAAAAGTTTTAAATAATTTTCACATTCAAAAATCTTTTGCATCTCGGAATTTTGCACGAACTGAATCAGGTGATGTGTATTTGTATGTATTTTTTTCAGAACTCTTTGCTTTGGTATTGATCCCTTTTGGAATTTCTACACACTGGATCTGCAGTTGATTAAAGAAAAGTTTTCCAACAACGTATGCTAGTCTTCCTTCAACAACACCATCAACCTAAATATTAGAAAATTTATTTATTTTACTGCAACAAGATAATGTACTTAAATTGATTTAAAAATATATATTTCAACATAATAAAACATTTTATGCCAATTTTACTCATGATTTAGTTAATGAAGATTTATTTTAATGTTGTTAGGAGATTTTTATCTTAATAAAAACAAAAGCAAATTTATAAAATTGTATATGTATAAAAAGAAATCGTTTAAAATATATAAATAAAAATAAAAATAAATATATTAAAGTAAAAATAGATAAATTAAACATGTTAATTACATCTTTAAGACATTTATAAAATTTGTCGTCGCATTTGCAGTCTGATATAGTATAATCTTTAGTGTTATGTAAACCCCATCTGTACTTTCCTGCTTCAATACTTAATGGACATCGATCATGTTTATGACAGCATTCATCGAGATTACTTAAGTATCCAAGGTCTGTTTCAAATTCTGCTTTGTTACCGTGGCCACACCATTTTGTTCCTAAAGTATTATATGATTTTAATGTTAAAAACAATGAATTAGAAGCAAATACTTTTATTTTTAATAAAAGAGAAAAACGCGAAACAATTATACGAAAGTAGAAAGTTCTTAGAAGTAAGTAAAAGATGCTTGGAAAAAAAATAAAATAAATATGCAAAAATGAAACAAAAGGTACTTAGAAAGAGTAAATGAAGCACCGAAATTCTTTGGAACTTTCTTATAGTTAGTAAAGACATTATAATAAATTATTTACCATACATAATAATTCTTTTTTGACCACCGTGTGTATTATTTACCATTTTACTTGCGACTGAAAATATAAAAGTATAATTAACTGACATGAAATATATATATATATATATATATATATATATATATATATATATATATATATATATATATATATATATATAATAATTTATTGTTTACTGTATTATTCATAAGATTATTTTTTTTAAACGGCATTTTACGTCGGTAGAAAATCCAAACGCGTTTAAGTATAATTTATTCATTTATAGTGCGAATAAAATAATTTATTGCTATAATTTTTGTTTTTTTGTCTAACATATAATATGTTTATAAACATGTAAAATTTTTATTAAAAACGGCTTTTGAATCTGTGTTGTTTTTGCACTATTTTGGTCTACTCTACAGCAATATGTCAAACGGTCTGTCAGCGGTTTCCTTTTTTTTCTACGTATCCCCAACCGTTCAATTGTTTAAGTTTTTGTTAAACCGTTTATAACTTTTTGAACATTTGCTAAATTTATTTGTAATTACTAAAAAATTTTAACGATAGGGCTAATTTTTATTTATAACGATAGAGCTAATTCCTTTCCCCAAAATCATATATATAAATCTGTATTTTTTTCTATATATATGTTAAAAATTTTTTTTTTACCTAGTTTTTTTGCAACATTTTCATCTGTGGAAATTTTTTCTAGTACTTGCTTTTCGGAAAACCCCAATTTCTTTTCTTCAGCAAGAAATGATATTACACTGTTTTCATCAACTATATCTTCAACATTCTTTGACGAGTCGCTGAATGAGGAATTATCAAACGCCTTTACACAAACAAATCCAGCAAGAAGTCTAAAGTAAAGTCTATATATATATATACGTATATATATATATATATATATATATATATATATATATATATATATATATATATATATATATATATATATATATATATATCAGTAGGTTCACTCAGGCTTCCTGATGAACCTACTGATGGAGAAACATTATGTTGAAGACAACTAAAAATTAGAGAAGTGTTTTTAACTAATTTATTATTGCTCTGTTCTTCAAGAACATCGAGCACTCTATTTGTTGAATACACTAAAATAATTATATATATATATATATATATATATATATATATATATATATATATATATATATATATATATATATATATATATATATATATATATATATATATATATATATATATATATATATATATATATATATATATATATATATATATATATATATATATATATATATATATATATATATATATATATATATATATATATATATATATATATATATATATGCTCACACACTTACATACACATAAAGATATTTATATTGATATAAAATTATATCCATATCATAAATAAAAGTTACTGGTTTAGTATAAAGTAAAAAAATATTGTTTTGTCCTATTAGCTTCATATCAGTTAATGATTAGCTATATTTGAAATGATTTAAAAGAAGTGCTTAATTTGCTGCATTAAGTTTGCCGTTTAATTTTAGAAATCAGAGATTTATCTTGTATATAATATAAACATTTTAACGCTGTTAACCAAATAATTTTGTTGTTGCTTTAAATAAGAAATATATATATTTTTGTATAGAGTTAATAAATGTTTGTGTTATTTCAGATAACGTGACATAGTAATGAGAAAATGAGGTGCACCAGTCTATTGGTAATGTTCGAAAACGTGCTTCCGACAGAAAAGATGGGGTGACTGTAAAGCATACGGAGAACAAGATATTTATTATAATAAACTTCAATGATTTTTAGTTTTTCTTGATATTTTAAACTGAATATTAAAGTTTCAAAAATATATTTTTGAGTAACCTTTGGTTCACAATAGGTTTGTAATTAGCTTTTTTTAATTCTAGTTTGTACTTTCAATTTTAAATTATAATTTTCACTATAAATTCTGATATCAAATTTGGACGTACTTTAAACAATCAAATTTGGACAAATATAATGCGTTTAAGTTTGGACGTACTTGGTGCGTTCAAATTTGGACGTTCATGGTGTGTTCAAATTTGAACGAGCATCCGTATTTCCAATTTAAACTAAACAATGATATATTATATAAACTAGACGTCTAACTTGCGGGATTTTATTGGACGAAAAATGAAGCCGCTTATTTTTTGTTTATAAATATAGTCCGTCATTTGTAAAAAAGAAGCCGATATGTAAAATAAAAATCAAAAGTTCCCAATAAATTAAACATAATTCAAAAACACGTTTTTATAATTAAAAAATACTTATAAAAGTTTTTTAATGAGCCTATGTTTATGATATTTCATAAAAATTCTTCTATGCGTCTGTCTTTTAATTTTCTATTCAAAACTTTAATATCTTTCTAATCTAAAATAAATTTAGGAATCATAAATTATTATTTTACAAGTATTCTTATTTCCTCATAACACTTTTACATAAATAGTACATAGTAGTACATTTAATATATCCAAGTTGGACATAAAATATCATTTCAACCAAATCTGAACCAATATTGTTCGTTCCGTCCTTTTGTACAATGAACGTACCGTGTTATTAATAGTTTAAAATACATTAACTAAATTTAATAAACTAATATCCGTTAAGTACGATATTAATGTTATATCAATTTTTAACCATTACAAAAAAATTTCTTATTTATTTAAAATAAAAAAATTACAGAAACTTCAGCATATTCTATTCTTCTTTTTCTTCTACTTCAGAAATTATTTTATTGAGAAATCAACATTTAGAATTTAAATATAACGTAGGTATTTTGTTTACAATTTAGTTGCGTCGCTTCAATACACACATCAACCTAAAGTTGCTTCAATAAATACGTAGCCCTAAAAACTTGCTTTTAGTTAATTTGAGTTTGTTTTCAGTCATTTAAAGATGATTGTTTATTGATTTATGTTAGGTTTGGCTTAGGTTAAGTCTTTCTTATGTTTAATTTTTTATTCGGAATGTTTTTTGCGTTTTTTTTTTTTAATTTATGAAAATAGTATTAAAAAAAAATATTTTGCACAAGCTGAAAAAAATCTATCGACCCCATTTTAATGGTTGTTGAATAAGCCTTTTGTAGAAGCTTATAAATAATATACAATTAAATTTTTATTGAACGATGATATATTATATAAAACTAGATGTCTAACTTGCGGGATTTCATTGGACCAAAAATGAAGTCGCTTTTTTTGGTTTATAAAAATTGTCCGTCATTTGTAAAAAGGGCAAAAGCTAAAGTCGAAGGGTGGAATAAAAGTTAAAAAAGCTCCCAATAAGATAATTCAAAAACAAATTTTAAGAATTATAAAATACTTTTAGAAGTTTTTTTATGAGCCTATGTTTATTAAAAGTTTTTAATTCATAAAAATGCTTCAAAAGCGTCTGTCGTTTTACTTTTCTATTCAAAACTTTATTCCCTTTCGAATCGAAAATAAATTTAGGAATCATAAATTATCATTTTACAAGTATTCTTATTTCCTCATAACACTTTTACATAAATAATATTTAAATTTTCAATATATTTACTTCATAAAAACAAAAGTTAAGAATATTTGTTAACAAATTTAATCTGCTATTTGTAAAGTGAAGCTGCTTTTTGCCAGGGCAAAAAGCAGCTTTACTTTTCGGATCGAAGTTAGACATCTAGTTATATAATATACCATTGGTATTAAATGTATCAAATAACGGTGATTAGAGCCTGGGAAAAAAAAATCCCCAAAAGATTTGCAGTCCCATCCCCAAAAATCTAGGTTAAAGATTTTGTAACATATTTTAATTTACTATGTTATGATTTAAGTTTCTCGACAGGTTATAAATTTTATTTAACATTCTTTTAATATTCAAAAGTTGTGACTGTGATTAGTTTCAACTTCCTCATTTTAGGGATTGTGGGAAATTTACCTATTCATAATTTTTGTTAGCTAAAAGATTATTAAATAAAATTAAAAAAGACAGTAAATTAAAATATTTTATAAACTCTTTATCATCACAATTGGGGTTGATAGAAATGCAATATTTTGGGTTTTCTTTTGTTCCCAGGCTCCTATCACAGCGATTTTTTGTAAAACAATCTAATTTGAAATAAACATGAACTTACTTAAGTTTTGATAATGTATAAAAGTTTAATTTAAACGGAAGCATAAAAAAAACCTGCGTTCGCACTTAACTTAGTTCCCAGGCTCCTGTTGTTTTGTTAACTTAGTTCCTATTTGTAAGAAATATTGCTGTTTCTTTACAAATAAGAAATTTTTTTAAATCTTTTTTATCCATAAAGGCAAATGAAGTGTTCATTTGTCAGTATTGTTTATTTTTAATAAAAAAGTTTTTCCTTTTAAATGAGCATTTGTTACTTTGCCTAACACAAAATCTATAACCATAAAAAAAATAATTAAAAAAATAAGAAATCATCTTAATTGTAAAATGCCTTGAGTGTTAAAATGTGAGATATGTTCTTTTCTAAATAACAGCTAAATGATTTTAATTTCATAATATACTAATTAAGATTTTGAATAAAGATATTGAATAGAAACATTTTTCATAGAAAATGAAAGTTTAATTATTTTATTTATGAACCATTATGAACTTATAATAATGCCTACTTAGGACCTGTTTTATCATTAATAGCAAAACAGTTGGGTTTTTTAACTTGAGAATGGTTTATAATAATTCCTTTGTTTAAAAATAACGGTTTAATTTATAATATTTGTGTCCAGTTAGCAAAATGTCTCTAAAATTTTCTTAAATGTTTCTAAAACTTGTATGTATTTAAAGATATGTTTTTTTCCTCCTAAAACGATACAATAGCATTCTCCGTAACATTTTATTATTTACATCAATTTTATTGCAATGAATCGAATTGAAAAATGCATAAAAATGCTAGAAAATGGTTGAAAAAATGGCTTTTAAAGTTACTTACTAAATCTGTTTGTTCTCACTAATAAAGAGAACTAAAGAGCTTGAAAAAGATATGTGACTAGTTTTTTTTCAATAATGTCTGGCAATATCTATATATATTTTTAATATACCCAACAGTAATACTTTGAGACTTCTCTAGTACGTCAGAATGGGTATTTTTTTGCAATATCTCGCTGGAGTTTGATAATTTATGCCATAGTCTTTTGCTATCCCTCTAATAGATTTGGCATTCATTTTAACATCTTCAATAGCTCGAAGCATAGTATCTTTAGAAATGTTGTCATTATTCGATTTTCTACAAAATTGTCACGGCATTTCTCTAAAAAAAAAACTTATTCATTATGTAAATCATTTTAATTTCAATTAAAAATGGTTCTTGGGGTTGCTTGCCATAGTGTGACAACCATCCCCAAACAAATTATGGCTAGCAACTCATTCATAAATAATAGTAATAATAATATGAATAAAATAATATTTGGAGCTTGATACGTGAAGGCACGTGCTTTAGTAGCCGTTTGTTTGTTGATTTAAGTTCATGGATTGGTGAATTAACTAGATTAATCGGTATTAAAAACATCTATTATTTACTAAATTCGGTAGAAGAAAAACACAAAATATCAATTAAAAATTGTGCACAACTTCGATTTTACGTTAAATCTAAACAACAATACGTTTCAACCAAATTTTAAACTTGATAATCAAACAAGGTACATCCACTCTTATTCTAACCACCCTCCAAGCATAATAAAAGCATTTTCTCGCAATATTGAGCAAATATTTTCTTCAATGTCAATTAATGAAATGTTCTTCAAAAAGGCTAATCCATCGTATGAAGAGGCTTTATAAAAATTGAGATACAAATCAAACCTTACCTACCAACCACAATTGCATGCTTAACCTAAAATCTATTATAGATTATCATAATTTCAAAATTTTGCACAAAAAATCAATAAAAAACCCACCAATGTAACTGCATAGATAAAGCATTTTGCCCTTTGAACAATCAATATTTATCTAACAATATTGTCTACCAAGCAACCGTAAGTTCCAGTCATCATGATCGTAACAAAAAAGTATATTTTGGCATTAATAATACACCGTTTAAACTAAGATACGCAAACAATCTCAAATCTCAATCTCATTTGCATCAGTTAAGTATAGAAATGACACAGACTTATCTAAGGAAATATGGAACTTAAAAAATCAAAAAATAAAGCCTATTATAGAAGGGAAAACTGTCAAACGTTGCAAACCTTACAATCTAGCAACAAAAATATGCCACTTTTTTGTCTACGAAAAATGTTACTTTATCACATAATGGAAAAAACTTAGTGAACAAAAAAAAAACGAAATCGTATCTCTGTGTCAACATTTAAAAAAATTCTTATCACCTTTATCCGACACAGGGGACTAGTTTTTTGTTTGTATTAATGGCTGATAATAATTATCAGCCATTAATACAATTTTTTATTTTATTTTATTTATATGAAAAAAAAAAAACTGATTAGCGGGACTTAAAGTTTCATGCCCGAAGACAATTATTGTCTTCAGGCATGAAACTTCAAGTCCGGCTAATCAGTTGTTTTTTTTTTCATATAAATAAAATATAGTTATATATAGCTCTATTATTCAGTAATATTAAGCAATCTAACACGTACAAGAGACTTCGTAATATTACATTAAAATACTTACCTCGAATATATAAGCTGAAAGCGTACGGTATTCAAGGCGCTCTCGTTGATTGTATTGCAGCTTGGCTAAACAACCGATGTCAACGAGTGGTTATAAACAGCATTACTTCTGAATGGAAAGCAGTCACTAGTGGAGTGCCTCAAGACTTGGTCTTGGCCCCATTGCTATTCGTAATCTTTGTAAACGACCTGCCGGACAGAATTACTCATCATATGAAACTGTTTGCCGACGACAGCAAAATAATTGCGATAATTAAAAAGGAGTCGGACAGCATCACTCTCCAAGATGACGTTGACAGAGCAGTGGAATGGTCACGCATTTGGCTCTTGCATTTCAACGTTGAGAAATGCAAAGTAATGCATGTTGGGCGCGGATGTAACAAGTCGACGTACAAATACTCAATGTCTATGTCGACGGCACCCGTCGTCCTCTCGAATAAACTGCAGTCGAAAGAGACCTTGGTGTTATGGTCTCGAATGATCTTAAAGTCAGACCACAAATAGAGTCAGCCGCATCAGTAGCAAATAGAATGCTAGGGCAACTCAAAAAAACATTTCGCAGTCGCAGTTTTTATTTATGGCGCACTCTGTATCTCACTTACATTTGCCCCCATCTCGAGTTTGCTGTACAAGCCTGGTCACCGCATTTAAAATCAGACATTACCATTCTCGAGCAGGTCCAACAACGAGCAACAAAAACAATAACGACTATTAAACACCTGTCCTATGAAGATCGACTCCAACGGCTTGGTTTAACAACTCTTGAAGAACGCCACAAAAGAGCAGATCTTATCGAGCAATTCAAAATCATTCGTAAACTCGAGCTTGTCAGTTTTGTCGTCCCGCAAAAATTTTCAAAAAGTAAAGATAAGTATATTCTAAGAGGCCATAACCATAAACTAGAACGTCAGATGGTAAAAAACTGTGAGCAGCGATATAACCTTTTTTCAAACAGAATTGTCGCCCCATGGAATGCGCTTTCGCAAGAAGAAGTGAACGCTCAATCCATCAACGCTTTCAAAAATAACATACGAAAATAACTTTATAGATACAACTGCTGCTTTGTCTGTAGCGTCTGTATCTCCATGTTCGTCAGCATAGATGGGGCCTGGTGTAGCACCTCTTCATC